TTCCCAACAAATTCCAATGTCATATTTTGAAATGTTTATTCATGATATATATGATATCAATTATGCAATTTGCCTGGTTTTTGTAAGTATGCTCTTTGTACATGATTTCCAAGTTTGGAGGCAATACTTTTATATTGTATACAAAATGGGCACTTATTCTACTTTGAAAGTAGGAATGATATCAGCTTGGAACACCTGAAATAGATTGCTCTACAAATCTCAAACTGTTGTATGCAACATATTGCGCCCCATCAGTGCTTTCAGCACTTTGATTATATAAACATTTGCAGTACATATTTAACACATTCTTGGATGTTTTAGAATTGTTTTTAGAAGAATAATTATATACATATATAAAACTTCACTTAAATGAACGTTACATCCTTAATTGCAACATACAGGGCTTACTCATTTGCTAAAAGTTACAAACGTATACAATCAAGTCATACCTATAAATGAAGTTATTACTTTATAATGGATATAGTGCTTCAATAGCCAATTACCAGGTAATGTGACATTCTTACGGTGGCATAGAGGTCACATCTGGAGTATTATTTTATCTTGTGACCACGACTTATTATCTTGTGGTCACGACTTTTTATATTGCGTTCACAAGTTACCATCTTGTTGCCTCAAGATATCACCTGTGAGGTCATGCTTTTTAACTGGTGGTACAGCCAAACTTATAGATGAACAAATTATGACACACGAACTTGCAAGATTAGAATATACTGCAAATATGATACGTCTGGCACCGTGACATTAAGACAGCAAGTTTTAGCTAGTCTACACTACAATATAAAAGTCAATTTTTCTGATCTGGTTATTCTTAATATTATTCTACTACTTAGAAAAGTGAGCCATGGTTTTGAAATGTATTATATTCAAGAGCTCAGGTATCCGGACAAATTATTTAAAGAAATCTGTGTGAGTCCGGAATACTCTTTTTGTTTAAGGACTTAACAGACATGACACCTTGATTTCTTTGGTTGTTGAATTATCTTAGACTACTTTCTGCATACTTATAGAGCAATTCGAAAACACTAAATAATGTATTCATAGATACTGATGTAAATAAAAAAGAAAACGTTCCTAAGATGTCGATGTATAATTTTATGAACATATAACTATACGGAAATAATGTTTTCAATTGATAATTAATAGTTCATATATATTCTTGTTGATGTAATGTTTTGTTTGTTTTTTTTAAATATAAATAACTGGATAAATGTTTCAAATAATGAGTTTTCCGTGTTAGGGACACATAAAATAAAGATATTTCTTAAAAAGTGTTGTCTGTATGAAAATCTTATTTATATAACTTGACATGATAAAGGTTCACCTTGAGATTAATTTTTAAAGCTCTATACACAAATATTTACTCTGAAAATAAAGGAGAGGGCATGAAAAATATTACAAGCGTTCAGTTTTTTAAAGAAATGCGACAGTTTTCTATGCAATATGACTTAAGCAGATTGGTAAGGGAATCTTTAAATTAAATTAAGTACAATGTAGATTTAGTATGTATGTATGTAGAAATCAACTTCACATCAACTTCGGTTTCACATACAAGTTCATATACCAGGGTCACGGACATTTTTCGTCACTTGACAATAATGTACAAGCAAGTCGAGCAAGCTGGCTGAAAATGATTTGAATAAGATTCTAACTTTCGTTACACGATTGAATAACCAACAGTTATGAACAACAATTATTTTTTGAAGGAATATTAACTATTTCAAAGAATTACTTGCGCTATTTTTTTGTTAGTTGTTAATTTTGGAAACATATAGGATTAAGGTAACGTGTCTTGAACGTAGATTGTTCTGCAACGGGCACATTTTCGGTAAGTCTTTCAAATATTGATAAAAGCAATAATAATGAAAAATTTGGATAATCTTATGAAATATTTCTAAAAACAATACATTGTACTTTAGTGAGTTATCATTAAAATAAATATAATGGATAATAATATTTTGTTGTAGAAACTGAAATTATCTGATATAAATTGAAAATACCTATATGATCGTGTATCAAACACTTATGAACAATATCCATATTAAGTATTTTATGGTTTGTTCTCACATATGACGAAGAATATTTTAAACATTATTATTTTATGGTATAAGATTTTCAGTTACAGACAAGTTCACATTAAAATTGAGGTACATCAGCAACGTTTAACCAATTATATGCATAAACTTATTCCCGTGTCTTTATTTATCTAGGTGGACCTTATTTCTTTAACAACAATAGAAGCACTTCATATTGACATACATACAGATACGTGGACCACTTGCAGTTTATATTTTGGCATGGATAAGTATCATCTACAGATATACAAGGTAAACTCGGTGTTTTACCAAAATATTCAATGGTGAAATAAATACACGTGTGTATGAAGCATAAGACACACACACAACGATTTTTGTATTTTATGATCAGAGATCAGGAAATACAAGCTAACATTCAATCTCTGACACAGCGGTTTCACGATAAACAACAAGGAGTTCTTTAAACAGCTTAAAACTAGATATTTTAAAGGAAGAAATATTTCACAAGTATCCAACAAATTACAACGCATTCAAAGTTTTAAAGTAGCTTTGGGTTATAGAATTGTCAGTAAATGCACATTCACAAATAACGCGGATAAATATGATATTAATTAATCAAAATGCTATTTTTAGCTATGTCGATCAGAGCGTATTTCATAAATAAATCTGACTGTTGAGTAGTGGAATATATATACATGTCGGACTGTTTTGGCGAGAAGATCTTTGGTTAATTATTTAATGTTAAACAACAGGTTTATCGTGTACCTTGAAATAAATAAGGATTACAAACCCGAAATGCAAGGGAAATTCTAAATTTAGCTTTACTTGATTTTATTCAGGCTTTCTCTGTATAACTTTTCCGTGGTTCAGGGGTAACGCGCTCGTTTAGTGTGTCAGATGTCTGGGGTTCAAATCCCATTCAAGCCAACCTTTTTGTTTTAAGTTTCTTTGTTAAAAAAGTAGCCACGATATGCAAAGATAAAGTGTGGCTGTCATAAAAATGAACATAAATGATTTTTGATGCACCTCTAGTCATGCAAAATTCCGTATGTATCAAACTCTGGTGCCCTGCAAGAAGAATAATAGTACATAAAAATAAACTAGTACATGAAAATAATACAGATATACAGTGCGATTTACATTGCAAAGATCAGAAAATACAACAGAGCTTGCAGCCCTTTGATTTTTAAAATGTATACGTTAGTTTGGATCGTTATTTGCTGTGTCCCAATTTTCATAACGAGGAATATAATTTGTGCATTGAATTGAATACGGTATATTCCAATATCATCTCATAAGATATTATGGATTTAAAGAAATAACATGAATGAAACAATAGAGGTTCAGACGTGTGTATTGAACCATATTTGAATTGGAAAAATTATCATGTACTTCTTAGTTTTAAATGCGTGAATTAGTAGGTATTGTTCCAATTGCCCAAATCAAAGTGGTACAACCTCCTTTAATTTTTGACAAATATTAAAGAACTGTTTCTAAAGCTATATCAATGTCCTATTGATAGCTGAACAATATGAGCGCCCTTTTCTATTAGTTCAAGCCTGACAGATATCTATTTTAATGAGCATATGCTTTTCTTTTGTTTTGTGTGTTTATAATATCAAATCTATGTTTGTTATTCTTACCAATTCTTAAAAAAGATACATATTAAACTTATCTTTGATTGATGAAAACATACTTGTTGTTGTTGTTGTTTTATAAAACTAATTCAAAAGTTTAAATTAGATCCTCAAAATGTTTCAAACAAGATGGTAAACCTTTGTTATTTTTGCGTGTTTTTTTGTCATAATACGATACAGATTAATGAAGTGTTTTTGATCATTGACGCATTGTCATTTAGATATCTTATGCCTGAATTAAAAGTAGTATAAAGATAATTTTTGCGTTTCTTAAAAATGCTGCTTTAACCGTTTTTACGAGCATGATCATACAAAGACCTATTTAACCCAAAATGTTGTTTTCATTGTTAAACAGTATTTGTTTTGTTTTTTTTGTTGTTTTCTTTTCGGTCTCCTGTTATAATGTTTTGTTTCTGTTACAATTTGTCAGTTAGAATGTTAGTATTGTAAGAGTATTCAAGGGTTTTGTATGTAAATCAAAACACCACTTTGCTTTTATTTTTGTAACTTTTATAACAAACAAGTTCACATTCAGCGCTTCTATTCCTAATGTTAACTAATGGTTTGTTGACCCTAATGAATGGGCATTCAAGACGACATATTGAATCTGATCACATAAGGACGTCACAGTGGAAAACGCCCTCTTACATAACAAAAAATATACTAAAGATAGGTCTCATAAACTGCCAAAAGAAAGCGTGAGTAGTTCCCGGTTATTCCGATACCATCCGTTATTAGCCGTTGTTAAACGATACATTAAAGTCCGTATTCTCACATTTAATTGATAATCAACATTTAGTGATCACTGCCGTATGAACACGTCAAACTATGGATGCATATTATTTGATCGTGCTTTTCTTAAATTTAAACCTGAAATTTAATCGGCAGAATAACATGTTACATGAATTGGATTTATTGAGAAGGTGTCAAAACTGGGTAGTGTGAAATTACCTCTAAAATTATGAAAAAGGGAACATGTACCATGCACTTTGGGTGAACTTAAAGTTTAATTATATTTACATATATTTGACTCATTTAGATTAATACACCTTTTTTAATATATACTTGAAATGTCTGTAAACTTATTCAACTTCTATATCATACAATATTCACATATCATTTATAAAAAGCTAGAATGTTTATAAAATCTATAAATATCATGAGATAATGAATCAATAAGGTTTTGTGCTTTATCATAAACAGTTTGTCCAAAGTGGATACAATCTGCTAAAATTTTTGCTTATGAGAATGAAATGAAGATGTGGAAGTAACTTTAATTTATTAAGTATCTGTAATTCATTATTTTTAGGAATTTCGGATTTTTCCTGAAAGTGAATACGTAAAAGATCAACAAATATCATTTCCTAGACCAATCAAAGCAAGATACGTAAAATTAAATGAATCACTTGCAAATCTAACACTTAAACGACGACGCTTAGATTTTATGGTGTACGGTTGTAAATTGACAAGTAAGTATAAAGTTTAAAGGATCACTTTCTTTTGACAAATTGAATAATTGCTGCAAACATTTGGAATGAGGCTATAATTTCATCATGAAGATGATCAAATTTTCACTTTTCTTGTTGCTATTTACTAAGTTACTTTGGTTTTGGTATCTTTATGATAAATGTATATTACAGAGAACTGTTCTGTTTTGTAAACAGGTATCATTGACCTTACAAGCAACAGTTTATCTGAAATGCTACCTCTAGATCAAGAATTGCGATCCGGAAACTCATCATTCATTAGAAATACAAGTGTTGAGGAATGTAAACATCTTTGTAAATCTAAAAATGGTTGTAGTGTTGCCAGTATCAATGAACAGAAAATTTGTTATCACTATATGGGTAGTGAACTTGGGATTTGGAAAAATACTAAGATTACAAACGGCAGTCAATGGTTTGCTAAGCTACAAAATAATGGTAAGTCATTCTTTCGTCATGAAATAATTTATCATTTTTTCACCTTGCCAATATAAGCGGTCGATATGTCTGTGGCAGTATTACTACTCATGTGCGTGTATATTGTATTTTCTTAAAAAGATTAACTTATTGTTATTTTTCGAATGAAGGCCTCAGACAGAAAATGTTTGTAAAGGCGATTGTTAATATTATTTTTCTTTAAGTTTTAACACAAATATAAAAAATGATTGAACTCAAACATTTTAATTAAGCATGTACTGTATAAATTGACTACATACGAAAATATGAAAAAAAAGAAAAAGTACAGAAAAAATGATTCGGTCAAAAAGGATATTTTAATGATTTCTAGGTCAAGTTCGATTATAGGTCTCTTGGGTTAGAAAATTAGGTCACTCAGCCCGAAACTGAATCAAAGCACGGAAGGCGCTGAATTTGTTTGGGTCTCAGAATGTCAGAAAGGTGAAGGTTGTGAGATTATAAACCAATTTGGTTTTGTAAAGTGCCACCAATGCTTTCCAGTGTTTTAACTGTAGTAAATTGGCTATAAGATTAATTGCAACACTGATAGTCAATTCAATGTTTATTTGACTTAAAATTAAAAAAATGAGTTGCCTCTACTGGGATTTGAACTCTAGACCTCTCGATTCAGAAGCGAGCGTGCAAACCCCTCGGTCACGGTGAAGTTATATGTTGTCGGCCTGAAGAAAACCATATTACTTTAAATTAGTGTTTGTATCTCTTTTTATTTCGAAGCTAAACAGATGTAAATAATCATGGAGCTTACTGTAAGCTTGTATATCTATAAAGAATGAACCAATATCAAAATCTTCGACTATTCGGGAACTACTTTGCTTGAAAATTAATGCGCTTGTCATTTGACAATCTTTACGCATTGATCTCCCCTGAATTTTTCGGTGTTAGTGTACATATAAAGGGAAGTAACCGCTTCAAAAAAATGGACTGCTTTAGGTAATTGCAATTAACAGCATTAGACTCTGAAATTTCGCTTCCATTATTTGTTTGGTCTGACAACCCAACCAAATAAAAAACCTTGTAAACACTTAAGAGGTTACTGTTTGATCCATTTAACCTGTAAATAGATCTGAAATATTGTTTTGATGATTTCTAGGTCAAGTTATATGGTTTACCTTGGGTCAAAAACTAGGTCATACAGCCCCAATATGAAGAAATCTAGTTCACTCTCTTCATGCTAATGTTCAAATAAGAATACAACTAGGACAATATCTCGTTTTTGACCACGTTTGCACGAAATCAAATGCAGCAAATCAAATAATATATTGAAGCTTATTTGTACTTCTAATTTATTCATGATTTATTATCTGTTTATAAGTATATTCCACCAACTTGTTTCATCATGTTTAAGTGACATTATATCCAAATTTGACGTCAATCAGACATAAAAGATATGAAATGGCTAACTTATCAAGTTTAATCAGCAGTTGTCATAATGTTTTATATAGAACCATGACGCTCGTTAAAAAGTTGAAAATTTGTGTAATTGTATTCCAAATATTGTTAACCCACGCAGGAAGAAACTCACTTGTTTCAAGCATTTAATATTAAGATCATATTTAAGTTCTACGTGGGCTGTATGATAAGTTTTAAGCCTCTGGCTATAATTCTTTCCTTTTTAAACCTTGTATAAAACTTGACTAGTTTAGGTATCACACGTGTCATTTTAAACTAGGTCAACGCACCCGCTCAAGGTGCCAATTCAGCAATGTTTGAGATCAGTATTGTAGAGTTTGAATCTCTAGTTCACTCTCTTCTTGATCTAGCCCCTAGTGTTTCCATTATTAAAGCGTCAACTAAAAGGACAACGATTTTGATTAAAATGTGTTCCAGCTCATTGTTGCTATATTTCCTAAGTAAACTTTCTAGAAGTGGATCTCCAAGCAGAAAATTTATGTCTTTTTGGCTACATCGAAATGTATGCGCAGCTTTAATGATATGACATTATCTTGGCGTGTTATATGACGTCGTGCTGCGGGGTACGTTGATGCACTGTGTTTAAACTACATTAATACGTAATTTTGGGGACGTCCTCGGCCGAATGGTTAAAGTTGATGACTTCAAATCACTTGCCTCTCAACGCTGTGGGCTCGAATCCCGACAGGCACTTTGGATTCTTTCATGTGAGGAAGCTATTCAGCTAGCTTACAGAACGTCGGTGGTTCTACTCAGGTGCCCGTTCGTGCCTGAAATAATGCACGGAAGGTCACCTGAGGTCTTCCTCCACCACTAAAGCTGGAACGTCGCAACATCACGGGGGGGGAATCACGTGACTTTGTATAGTAATACCCACGAGAAAATGGCGACTGCTGAGCCCCGGTAAGTACCTTATTATGTTAAATTAAGGTGACAAACGTTTCTTAAATCAAACCAAAACCTAGCGTATCATATGCGCGTTAATTTTCTTCAAATGACAATAGAAAGTGCATTATCTTACGTTTTGTGGTTTTTGAGAACATTGTTTGAATTGGTTGAAAATTGCACATTCAGCGATAGTAATTCGCACGAAGCGATATAATTTGGTACCAAAATAAAGGAAAATAAGCTTACTTTCTGCACTTAAGACACAAAATCAATCATTTTATTGACATCTGTTCTTGTAGAATTCCATATAAAATATATTTTCGAAGGAATGTAGCCTACAATTGTCTTTGCAAGTGTATAGTAAGTAAAACGAACAATTTCTGGATAGTAAAAAAATCTGGAAACAAAGTGATCCCTCGGAAGCATTAATCACAACAAAATTACATAAGAATTGCAGACTCGGTTTGATTGAGTCTGTACATGAGGGATACTGAAGAAGTGCAACATCCCTCACGCCCCCTAGCACCGGCTTGAGCGGTACTCAATTCTCAACACTTAATAGTGCTGGCATGAGCGGTACTCAATTCTCAACACTTAATAGTGCTGGCATCAATGATCCCGAAGGACCAGAAAAATATAACAACACTGAAGTGAAGTACGGGGCAACTTTTTACAGCTGCCACACAGCACTTGACACCTGCTGTTGTGAAGTATAAAAATCTGGAAACAAAGTGATCCCTCGGAAGCATTAATCACAACAAAATTACATAAGAATTGCAGACTCGGTTTGATTGAGTCTGTACATGAGGGATACTGAAGAAGTGCAACATCCCTCACGCCCCCTAGCACCGGCTTGAGCGGTACTCAATTCTCAACACTTAATAGTGCTGGCATGAGCGGTACTCAAGTCGCACTAAAACAAAATAGTAAGTTTCACGCACAGTTTCCATTAGCATACATATACATTAAAAGAAAGTTAAAGTCCATATGTAAAGAGATAGAAAATACTTATTTCAATTATTGAAGATCAAATATTTCACTTTTTGTCTATAGAACGAATGCTTAATTGGTTGTAATCATAATATATCAAATGAACTTTTGATGGGATTTGATATTACAAGGCTCAGTGTTATTTTTCTGTTGCGATAGTAGTTCTTTGACCTCTGCAGTTTCGGGTGTGTCATGGCCCTCATTTTACTGTAATTAGAAAGAAGATGAACAAATATAATTTCTGTTAATTGGTATGGTGATGTTTATTAACTGAATGCTGATGTTTTTATATGGTGGTATTTGTTACTTAATTTATGAAAATATATTGAAGAATTCGCAAGAACAAAATAACTTCTTACAAAAAAAAAAAAAAAAAAAAAAAAACAACAACAACAATGATACAGTGATACAAGTTATGATTAAGGCACATTGTGCCTCAGAAATCCATATTGTTTTAATTCTTTAGAAATATCAAACATGTGTTTCATAATGTTTAAATAATGGATAAAACGCATGATAGAATTTTATTACAACTGAAAAAGGTTGCGCTGAACATTAAGTGATGTGTCGTTAAGGTAGCAAAGTGTAAACAAAGTAGTATTTTGACTTCCATACGAAATTCCTTATTCACTAAAGGTATACCATTTTCAAACATAACCAAAGATGCAAAAGATAGTTTGAGTATCTAGCAAATGAGTATGTTTTTGGAAACTGTAACAAGATACCAAAAATAAACAGATATTTAAATAAAATAAAAATGATAGCATTTAAGAGGCATAATTGACCTTTAAAGAAAAACGAATATTTGAAATCAAACGGTCAAAGATATTTACACTTTTTAAAGTGAAGGCAAGTGGAATAAAAAAAATATTTACATAAAACAATCTTAGATGCTGGGTTTCAAATCACACCGTCAGTGTCGGGACACCTGAGTTACAGCACCGACGTTTTGTTAGCTAGTTTGATGAAAGAATTCAAGGACTCTGGTCGGACTAGAATCCATAGCGGTGAAAAGCAGGTGTATAAAAATCAGGGACATTAAGCACTCGGCCATGGACGTCCTGAATATCTTATTTACTTACTCTATTACAAACAATAAGCAAGAGTTTACGACGCAACGCATTTGCACATGGTAAGAAAATAAGCGTATAGTAAAACATAACGTTTAAAAAAAGTTCTTGGGTTTATTTATAAGTGTGTGTGTGTGTGTGTGTGTGTGTGTGTGTGTGTGTGTGTGTGTGTGTTTCATTTTACGCCTTTTTCCAACAGTATTTCAGTCATATAGGCGGGTAGTTTCCTAACCATCGTTCCTGGAGAGTTACACCAGTACTAGACTACCTTCCTCCGCGCTAAACTACCAAAGCATCTCCCGGGGATCGAACCCACGCCAGAGAGGTAACTGGAGTAGAAGTCATCGACTCTAACCCCTCGACCACGGAGGCGGTTGGGTTTATTTATAAAATCTGCCAGTGTATAAAAGAATAAATTTAATAAAAACTTGTTATACCAGTTCTATGATGGCACTAAATATCAATGTGATATGGCGAATGTCTTCTCCTTTGCGTTTTTGGTCCAGATTGCAGGTACTGAAAAGTTAATGATGGTGTTGTAATATTTCCTTCTGTACAGTTATTTCTTTATATAGCTTTTTCTAAGGATAACGGATGTGGGTCCAGTCTAACGTGAAAAGTGGCCAAGTGTAACGTACATTGTTGAGTATCAATGATAATGTCTCATTTAGTTGTTTTTTAAGTTAAGTAATCTTTTATGAAATTATATGAATATGAATACATGTATTATGAAATAATATGAATTATTATTAAAATACTCTCTCAATATTTGTTTCTCTGTCACCGTAGACGGAACACACTTGCAAATTTGAAACCAAATAATTATAAAATAGTTTCGTCACATTTTAGTAAGCTATTGGAAACTGTGCGTGAAACTTACTATTTTGTTTTCGTGTAACTTACTATCCAGAAATTGTTCGTTTTACTTACTATACACTTGCAAAGAACATTTGTAGGCTGCAGACCTTCGAACAAAATTTTATATGGAATTCTACAAGAACAGATGTCAATAAAATGATTGATTTGGTGTCTTAAGTGCAAAAAGAAGGCTTATTTTCCTTTATTTTGGTACCAAATTATATCGCTTCGTGCGAATTACTATCGCTGAATGTTCAATTTTCACACAATTCAAACAATGTTCTCAAAAACCACAAAACGTAGGATAATGCACTTTGTATTGCCATTTGAAGAAAATTAACGCGCATATGATACGCTAGGTTTTGTTTTGATTTAAGAAACGTTTGTCACCTTAATTTAACATAATAAGGTACTTACCGGGGCTCAGTAGTCGCCATTTTCTCGTGGGTATTACTATACAAAGTCACGTGATTCCCCCCCCCCGTGAATATGACCTATACTGTGTCGATGTGACGTAAAACAAAAACAAAAAATAATAATTTTTTTTTAAAAAAACGTAACATTGATTGATATATATTTTCTTTTTGTACTTACTCATAAATACTTTATTTGTTTGTACATAAATTAATTTGACACGGTACTACGTCGTTACTACTTCCCATTAAACCAGTCTACTAACTTATCTTACAGCCTTCGTATGTTTAGATAACCCGACAAAAGCGTGGCGGAATGCGTTCCCATGTAGACAGCCTTCTTCAGAGTGTTTTTCGTCCATATTTTGTTATTTGATATTAAATACTTTATTGTGATTATAAATGGCCATATCAATTCACTCGTATATGTCACCGAACGGCTACAATAATATACACATGTTTGTCTGATATATATTAAATCGCATTCGTTGAATATGTAAAGTTGCAGTTCTACTCGGCTTAAACGTTACAAAAGGATATGCAGCTTACGCAATAAGGGTGCGTTAACTGGAGATTCTGGGGATAAAAAATGCTTGCACTTGAAATAGCGCACTACAAGTTTACTTAAGAGTAGAAAAAGAAAATTGAAATAAACTTTAGTTATTAAGGAGCACTTTGAATAAAACACATTTTTGACTTTGCATTGCTTATTTTCAAAGGTTAATTTACTTTTCTTTATCAATATTATAACAACGTAACTCGAGGCATAACAAGGTTGTCTGAGGGTTTGGAAGGCTGCATATCATCACGGTAGGGAAAATGATTATAAGCTAGAAATTATTCAAAAAAGAAATTATATAGAACTATTCATCATGGTTGTACGCAAGGTCTATCAACCCTCGAGAATGACAAATAGCCTCGTGTTTCAGTGCTCAAAAACTCTCCTTTATAATTCGCTCTATATTGCACTGAACTGGAGCATTAAGGAATTATTGAATTGATGATATCATTATATCATTTGTGCTTCACGCAATATTGCATTTCAATGCAGTTCTGTTTGTGGAAATCATACCAGGTTTAAGATTTTGTTTCCGTATTTTTTATTATTTTACCAAGTGAATTATCTTCTTCCTATCAATATGTTTTCTTGTTAACACAGTATCTATGGTATCCTTTCCGATGGCTTACCAGAAAGAATCGTTTTTTGGAAACGTACAGTACATAGGCGGCGTCTCTATAATAACATCACCCAGTTACCCTCTAACGGCAATTTTAGACAATGTAATTCTTTGGATTGTTAATTTTGTACCAGGACGGTTTGCCAAATTTATTTTCACAAATGTTTCACTATCTGAGGTATGCATTCGATGTTTTTATTACTAACACCTTGGGTTCTAAAACCTTTCCAATATAAATTAGTAAATTCATTATTTTATCATTTGTAAGATTTACGTTTTTGAATTAATAATGGCCTGAGACATACCTTGTCATGAGACGACTTCTTAACTAATTTTGAGCTTGTATCACTTTAAAGTCAATTTCGTTTTGTAAGTAAACATATAAATACAACTTTTCTGTTGTTGAATATGGGGAAAATGTTAAATTACAATGTGTTATAATGTAACTGACTTTACGTTAACACAGTGTTGTTCTGACAAAACTCTGCTGTTATGTAATCCAGTGTCTTTTTTGGAAGTTTAAATGTTTTCATATCGTACTGTAAATAAGAATTTGATTTTTTAGTTCAATTTACATTATTTTCATTACAACTTAATGCCCTGAAGTTAGTATATTTTCTTTATGATAATTAACTGCTAAGGTAGTCAAGATTGTTTGAGAATTGCTTCATTACATGTTCTATTTTTACGCAGTGTGAACTCATTGTTAAAACATCGATATTTGGTAACAAAGGATTTAGCATTGACGCGTGGTACAACGAAAAGGTATTTGTACTAGAAACAGATAAAAGGCTGTTGTTCTTATCTGCAATGCCAAAGACTAGATTGCCACCAAAGATAAAATTTCGGGCCATTGTTACTGCTGAGGGTAATTTTAATATTACTTTTTCTCGAATTACATGTATAATAACGATTGTATTATGATTAAAAAAAGAGCCAACTGCTACCTTCCAAGTTGATATTTGTTTAATACTTTAGTTTAATTTACAACTCCAACAACTTGACAAAGTTAAATTCTTTGAGTTATAATCAAATTTTCTTTTGTGTCGGTCTTGTTTGCGTTTGTATGAGTAAATTTTAATCAGTTTTACGCTTTTGTATCTAGCTAATTTAATCCTTAAATGCTGTCCGTTCAGTTTTAAAATACGAGTATATTTCTGGTATTTAAGAACGAAAAGGACAATTACCAAGTTTTTCATTCTTTTTTTTTTTTTTGTTATAATTGATTTGTTAGTGTCATCAATGTTGTATTAATGATCAGCCATAATAATTCATTATAATAGACAATTGTTTGTACATTTTTAAAGTGCCACCTTAATTAGATTAAAATGATAAATGCAGCTAAAACTGGGATGTAGTTTAAAGACATAAAAAAATCACAACGTATGAATGACAATGAACCTCTTACTTTCACAAAAACTAAACCTTAGTCACCGTGTGCTTAGGTAATCTAAAAGTGAAAGTAACTTTCCTTATATGTATTTACAAGTTTAAATACAGTTAATAATAGTTCCTACATGCATGTTTTGGCAAAATAATTGTTCCAATTACGGACAGACACGACTTTTTCCCCACTTTGCCTAGTGCATTGGTTCATCACTATGAATTTGAGTTAGTTTTGAATAGTTTGTTCATTAGATGCTCCCATTGGACAAACTAAGTTAGCCACACTATAATGAAATACTATATAACGCTACAATGTCGAGCTGCCATTGAGAGTGCAGGCAAACGAATGAAATCTTGCTTCGCAGATTACGTTACCTCATGTATAACCGCCAATGATTATATATCTCATCTCAAAGAATCAAAACATTGAGGCTTCCAGCAAAATTAGACTATCTCTTTCATTACAAGCGACTGTAAGAATATTATAAGTGTCGAATGAATTCTAGTACCGGTAGATATTATATCACTCCCTGTGCAATGACATATACATTTACAATGAGATAATATCTAACAACACATTTACCACACCTGAAGGTGATCATGAGAAACATTGAATTCTTGATTCAAGTAGTGCTTATACCATATAATACAAATACAATACACTCGTACCATACACGTTTTCAAACTGTATCAAGAATTCAGCTGCTCTCGTGTAGGTATTAATTGCTATAACACTTAACATTCGTTTATAGTGGAGTGAGAGTGGTGAGTGTGAGTGTAGGATTGTAAATAAATGTATAAGTATTATTTAGTATTGTATTTGACTAACTTGTTGTTACAGTACATTACATTTTGGATAATGATATATATTTATTTTCACATTAGACACCTCTGCGCTAACGTGCGATTACTCTATATAATATATGATTTTAATGAACAGCCTTCCCCATACAAAATATACATAACAATATTATGTAACAACTCATTTTAATCTGATTATTATTTACATGATGTATCATATCATAAGGGGAATCATCAAAGTGTATATGACACGATCAGAGATAAAATTGTTGTGTCAATCAGAACACGATCATCAATAAGGTTATCTCAATGAGTTTAATCTAATCAGCTATAATACGGTAATATGTGTATTATCTATAAACAAATCATACAAAGTACAAACATATCAGATATGCCAAATATAACTTACAGGACCTTAGCTATGTCATTTGAATGTTTGCATTCAGAATCTAATTGCGCTTAGCATTCATTTGTCTCTATAAACTATCGTTATAGGGGAGATTTAAAATAGAGTAGATATTTTTTTCACATAAATTGACTTTATAAATTTATAATTCAATCAAGTCATGACAACTTAGCGGTCAGGATCCTACTTTTTAGTAAATCTGAACATAAAAGTGAGTTAAAAGCATTTCATGCAAGTTACTAAGAGCGTTTCAAAAAGCGTATTTAATTTTATCAAGAACAGGTTACTAAAAAAGCATGCCAAAACAAAAATTATTTTATTTGAAATTATTCAGTTTTTATTGTGCTCCCACATAAGGGGGGATTTAGATTCACCCTTGCACATCCCACAGTCCGTCCGTCTATCAGGACGAACATCCAATGCTCTATGAGCTTCATTCCGTCCATAATTTAAGTTAGAAGAAAATCCCATAAACCTACTGGTATATGTGGTAATTTTACTGGTTTATGGGAAAATGCCACATAAAGATGAAAGAAAAAGCACATAAACCACAAATATTGGCATGTCCGTCCGTCCTTCCATCCGTTCTCTTTTGTGTCGCGCGTACCTCAAAATTTATTTGACCTAGAATCATGAAACCTGACAGCATGTGTAGTTGTGCACTTGGGTATTATCGTGTGAATAAATTTAGTATTTTTAGAGTTATTGCCCTTGACTTAGTAAAAATTCGCAATTTTTAACTTGTGTTGCACATAGCTAAAAAATTATTTGACCTAGAGTCATGAAACTTTACAGGAATGATGATCAGCATGTGCAGTTGTGCACCTGTGTATTTCCGTTTCGATTAATAAGACTTTATTGTTTCAGCATTAAGTATTTGAAAGACAATATCATTTTTCCACAATAAACTTTTAATTTTCAATATCGAGTTATAAATGATAAAACTACAAATTATTTTGTCAAGTAGGTGTCCGTTTTAAATGGCATTTTACGCTTGACACCGTTAAACTTGATACAGTTATATGCGAGGCATGAGTTGTTTCAATAGTATTGTAGAATATTTTCAAAGATTTAGATCAGATTATCGCATTGAGTTTTCCATAGACTTGATGCATTTCTTAAATTTGTGCATCTTTACGAAAGTGTGATTGTTCTATGATAATGAATTGCCTGACACATAAACAATATCTTTTCAGAAAATGACTTCAAAGGGGTTACCACTCCCTGGTTATATTCAACTTTTCTCTTCTCTCCACACCACTGACACATTTTTATATTTTTTATATATTTTTATAATGTTAATGTCAAAAGCAAAAGTGTTCTTATAGAGCAAGAAAATATTTCATTTCAACAAAAACAAAATATATGTTATTTTCTTTATAATAATTAATTCAAATATTTGTAATCTTAAAACCTCATACCAGAAGTTTATTAAAACGATGCTTATTTGTACAACTGACATCAGACAAAAATTCACAAATTTTGTTGAAACAATTATTCACTCATGTGTGTCCGATCGAGGCCGAGTTTACTTAGAGCGTAGCTAGCCAATATGAATTTGTTATTCGAGTTCATAAACATCTTTATCTTTGCCAAAAAATATAAGGTTGATATTGAACATACAGGAAAATTTAACAAATTATATAAGTTATTATGACGAATTAAGTAAGACGTTCATTTTTATCTGAAATCTAGCTTCTGCAATGTAAACAAAACAAATATTATATTGAAAATGAAACAACGTATTAAGTTGCTAAATACTCAAAAGAAACAGACCATTGCTTCAAACCGTGAATGATCTTTTTTCATCAAGCACAATTGATTATTCAGTAAAATAGACATATATATTGCAAAAATTATCCCTGTTGACAAGGCTACCAAAAACAAAACTGCATCGTATCATATTTACTATTCAAATGCGTCGTACCATGTCGTATAACTCATTTTTGTCTTGGAAAATAAACATCCTTTTTAATGAAGTTTAATGAACTTAAATGAATGATGCAAAATTATATTTTGAAGTTTATCGTAAACTCTGAAACGAGTATAAAATAGATTAGAAGTAAAAAAACAATGAATAAAGCAATATGAACTACGTCGTACCCACAAAACTTCATAAAATATCTGGCCGACCTCGAGTTTCGAGTTCGCTATAGCTTTTGTTTTACAAAAATAGTTGTGCAAGCAACATACACCGAACGAAACGGAAAACAGTGAAGCGTTTTTATAAATATATATCTGGTTTTCAATCATTTCTAACAAAAAGAGTTATTAACAAAACATACCTTTTTGTTCTAACATGGCGACGTTTGTTTACATTTGGTAAGATACGACGCAGTTCTGATTCCCAGTCTTGAAAAAAACTTTACAGTTTAAGCTACCTACTTAGGTTCAAAATGATCCGTCCAGTTGTTTCCTGGTCGAAATATATTTGTCAGTAGAAATGTTTTTATTCAAATGTAATGAATTATGACATTATATATTTTACCATACAAACTAACCAAACAATTTTTTTTATTTATTATCTTCCAGACACTCCAGCCTGCTTTTCACTAGATTTAAATGGACTCTCTAATATAAGACGAGAACTGTGCAATAAACCAAGTATGTTTCTTACATCTCTTTCTTATTTATATCATCCGTTAAAGTGGGAACTGTTCGCAATTCAAGCCGGAAAACATCAAACCATTGACATCACCTTCATCGATTTCTGCATTGCGTGTTTTAGATATGAAGGGTCCAGTAAGTGCATTCTAATATACAAATCTATATTGTTGTTGTCATTGTTTTTATTTTGTATGAATGAATAAAGATGGGGTTTTGTGTAAAGTAAATGTATATTGTTATCACAGTAACTGTTTATGTCCAATTTGTCCTTATTATTAACTTAATACAACACTAATTAAATGTTTCAATATTTATATATTTTCTGTCTAAGCTTTGCAAAATATGGCAATATACCAAAATTCTTTATCTACAGTCCTTTGCGTCCTATTTCATAAGACTATTTGAATATTACTGCAATAGTTATCTCTATCTCGAAGTCAAATGGTAGCCTAATGTGTATCTTCTTTGGTCCATTTTATAAATAGTATAATCTGTAGTAAATCCTATAAATAGCAGTCAAACTTTTTTTGCGTTTGTGATCAATAAATGGTAAAACAGTTCTTTAGGTTGTTTCAGTGATAACCAATTAACGTTATTTCTCCTTCCTACCTGATACAATTTTACTCCGTACAGTAATACACATGTTAGTCACATGAACTTGCAGGTTTGTAACGAATCAGATTGATTCTGATAAACTTTTTCAATCTTTGCGCTTTTTTTCAATATTTTCTTAGTAAGGTTAGAAGAACAAATGGATATTTACGGAGATTCACTGCCTTTCTTTTATAATAATAAAACTTCCGATTAGGGTTATTTCGTGATAAGTCAATTGCAACTTCACTTCTTTGTGTTTTAGCCAAATATTGGGCTTCATTTCCAACAAAACTTTATTGTTACACAGTAATGAAACGAGTTTTACGATTAACGATGGAATTTATGCATACCAGTCGCCTTTTTGGTGGCTTTTATCTGTATCGATTGTTTTACTTTCTATTCAACATTCATTTTACAACCATTCTCTTCTATCAGAGTTAAGATAAAAACAAGAATGCATTTGTGAAAAATGCTATGCCATCGCATTAATACAACACTAAATAGTAATGTAGGAACATATTTTCTTTGTTTTGATACAATTGAAGATTGCCATAATGCATAGAATACTGACTATCTAATTCTTCTTATCAGATTAGTGGTTAAATCTATTATTATTCAAATAAAAGATCAGAGTAGAAATCTATCAATGCAAAATAAGTTTGACTGCTATTTATAATCTAATGCATTTGGTGGTGAGGGTCATATTTCACTTGGCCAAAATTTAAAACTGTACATCAAAGGACAACACAGTAAGACAATTTGTAAAAATCTAGGCCAGTTGATATCAAAGTTGATTTAACATCTGAATCATGGTTCAAATTTCATAACTGCATATCAAAGGACTAGAAAGTAGGCCACATCATCAAAATCTAGGTCACTTGATATCAAAGTTTAATTTTAAAAGTTAAACTGTGAACATAGTCCAAATTCTTTGGCTGTACATCAAATGACAAGAAAGAAGGTTACTGTCCCCTTGGGCAAGGCAAACTTTTGACCCAAGGGTTTAATACAACAATCTTGATACAGGTCCACCGAATTACATTTTATGTCAAATATCTATGCTGTAGGTTTCTCCAATTCTGAATACATTTGTTTTAGTATCTGTTTTTACTATTCAAACATAATGAATATCAATGCCCCTGGGCAGGGCCAAGTTTGACACCAAGGGCAAAATTTGAACAACTTTGGTAGAGGACCTATAGCTGATATTATAAAGCAAACATCAAAGATCTAAGCCTTCTTCCTTCAGACAAGAAGATTTTTAATTGTTCACTATATGTACATAGTGATAATCAATGACCCCGAGGAGGGCCAAATTTTGACACCAGGGCTATAATTTGAACAGTCTTAGTAGAGGTTAACTACACAAAGTATTATGCCAAATATCTAACCTCTAGCCTCTGTTAGTTCAGTTCAAGTTTTTACTATTTACATATTAGGAAAACTATCGCCTCTGGGGCAGGACAATTTTAACACTAGGAGCATAATTTAAACAACTTTGGCAAAGGACCCTTAGATGACATATATACAAAATATCAAAGCTCTTAGCCTTGTACCTTTATACAAGAAGATTTTTATTTTTTCCTATATGTACATAGTGAATGCAAACCAATGACTCCCTGGGCGGGGCCAATTTTTACCCCAGGGCTATAATTTGAACAGAGGATCACTACACAATGGTTAATGCAAAATATCTAACCTGTAGTCTTAAGTTCGTCAGTTTAGAGAAGATGATTTTTACTATATACATATAAGAAAACCTATCACCCCAGGGGCGGGGCTAATTTTGACGCTAGAAAAAGTTTGAACAAATTTGGTAGAGTACCTATAAATGATAACATGTACTAAATATCAAAGCTCTCAGCCTTGTACCTTTAGACAATAACATTTTTCATTTTTACTATATGTATATAGTGAAATTCAATGACCACCGGGGCAATGACCAATTTTGATTCCAGGGCTATAATTTGAACAATCTTGGTAGAGGCTCACTACACAATGTTTCATGCAAAATGTCTTATCTCTAGCCTTTGTCAATTTCGAGAAGATGATTTTTAAGTTTTTATTATATACATAAAAGGAAAACCTATGACCCCGGGGGAGGGGCTAATTTTGATGTTACAGGCAAAATTTAAACAATTTTGGCAGAGTATCTATAGATAATATCATAAACCAAATATCAAAACTAAAAGCCTTGTACGTTCAGACAAGAACAAGGTATTTTAAGTTTTTACTATATGTACATACTGTATAGTGAAATCAATGACTCTCTGGGCGGGGCAAAATTTGATCAAAGGACTATAATTTGAACAATCTTGTTAGAGGTCTACCAGACAATGCCTAATGCAAAATATCTATGCTCTAGGCCTTGTGGGTCTTTACAAGAGGATTTTTTAAAAATTTATCCTTAAAAGTTCTTTTAGTTGCCATGGCAACAAGATTTCTGCACGGAATAAAATGCTTTGAAAAACTTTGGAAGCCCTTCACCCATGATCAATCCTGCAAAGTTTGGTTCAAATAGAACTAGTTGTTTTTCACAAGTAGATTTTTTAAGTTCACTATATAATCTATAACACACACACACGCACGCACACACACACACACACACACACACACACACACACACACACACGCACGCACGCACACACACACACACACACACACACACATGTGAATCGCTATATGCCACCGCATCGCAGATGCTGCGGTGGCCTAAAGAAACATTTGACAAATTAATATTTATTAATATTTTCGATTTTACTATTCTTTACATGAAGATATTTTGTTTCGAAACATACACAGGAAGATTAAGTTTGGAGGAAAACGTTTTGTTTTATTTTGTTAACTTTGTTAATTTTGACAACGTATTCATTGATCTCTGAACTCAAAATTGACCAACATTATGCTAAACATTATGTCATGGTGAAATTTCGTGCTTGCTGTAACGGTTCACTGTCACTCTCTCTCTCTCTATGTGTCTGTCTGTATGTCTGTCTGTCTGTCTGTCTGTCTCTCTCTCTCCCTCTCCCTCTCCCTCTCTCTCTCTCTCCCTCTCTCTCTCTCTCTCTCTCTCTCTCTCTCTCTCTCTCTCTCTCTCTCTCTCTCTCTCTCTCTCTCTCCCTCTCTCTCTCTCTCTCTCTCTCTCTCTCTCTCTCTCTCTTTTGAGTACATTTTGAGTTAAAAAGGGGTCCAGACGGACTTATAGATGGACAAACGGAACTCTTTTAAGTCTAATTATGAAATTTGCCAGGAATATTTCCCTTTCCTAGTAACTGTCTCTGCTTTTCTGTAGTTCAACTAAGAAATTATTCTCTGTGAGCTACTTTTTTTTCATTCCTATATTCTGAACATAACAATATATCTGAGGTAGTGTCTTAACCGAATACGTTTCTGGATAGTAAGGCACCCGCCCCCAACTCCCATGCAATTGCCAGAAAATATAGTATGTTCATGTGTTATTTTAATTCAGCTTCTCAATTCCATAAAACAAGTATCTCAAAAGAACACAAATATATAATATTATACATGTTTTGTGTCGCAGAGATAATCAAAATGCATTTTCGCCAAAAAAGAGGGCCATTACCCGAAAAACGATATAATTTTAAGAATTAATAGGTTGTTGCTTAAATTATTCTTTTACATTTAAGGTCACTGGGACATTGACTTTTTATGCATCGGCACCTAAACCAGGGGTCTTTAACATTATAAAACGATAACTCTATGAATATTGAGACTTTGAGTCACATGAATCGCTGGGTATTAAGCATAATTTCTTTTACAATCAAGGTGCTCACCTTAAGCCTGGCTTTTACATGTCTTTGCTTAAACAAAAAGAGCCTGTTTCTTAATGATTGTGATCGTCCTATTCATAGCCTGTTTCCTAATTGTGACAATTGTGTTACTATAGTCACCATAATAAATGTTTTGCTTGATTGGGATTCATTTTATTTAATTTACTACAGAAACACGTTGGTTTAAAAAGGTTTGGTGCACCATTAAGCAGTTCAACACACCGCCTATGTTCCTTAGATGTACTTCTTTATATTGCTATATGTGATTTTTGTCCTTTTTTGTTTTAAGTAAGTTTCATTACCTTTTCCCTAATTTTTTAGCTCACCCGAGCTAGCTCATGGTGAGCTTTTAGGATCGCTGATTGTCCGTCGTCCGTCCACAATTGTTCGTAAACACTCTTGCGGTCACATGTTTGCCTCAATCATCATCAAACTTTGTCTGGAAACTTATCTAGTTGATAGCTCGGATGAGTTCGAACATGGGCCATCTCCAAAAAAAACTAGGTCACCGGAGCTAGAAATAGAAAAACCTTGTTAACACTCTACTGGTCACATTTTTGCCTCAATCATCATCAAACTTTATCAGCTTGGCTAGGTGATAGTTCAAATGAGTTTGAACATGGGTCATCTCGGATGAATAACAAGGTCACCGGAGCTAAAAATAGAAAAGACTTTTTAACAATCTTGCGGTCACATTTTTGCGTCAATCATCATCAACATTGGTCAGGATGCTTGTCTAGGTGATAGCTCGTATGAGTTCGAACATGGATCATCTCGGATGAAAAACTAGGTCACAGAAGCTAAAATTAGAAAAAATCTTGTTAACACTCTAGTGGTCACTTTTTTGACTCAATCATCATCAAATTTTGTCAGGATGCTTGTCTAGGTAATTGCTCGAATAAGTTCGAACATGGGTCATCTCGAATGAAAAATCAAGTCACAGGAGCTAAAAATAGAAAAATCTTGTTAAAACTCTTGTGGTCACATTTTTGACTCAATTATCATCAAACTTGGTCAGGATGCTTGTCTAGGTCTTTGCTATGACAATATTGAAAATGTGTCATCTCGTATGAAAAACTTGGTCAACGGAGCTGAAAATAGAAAAGCCTTGTTAACACTCTAGCGGTCAGATGTTTGCCTCAATCATCATCAACATTGGTCAGGATGCTGTTCTAGGTGATAGCTCGGATGAGTTCAAACATGGATCATCTCGGATGAAAAACTAGGTCACAGAAGCTAAAATTAGAAAAATCTTGTTAACACTTTTGTGGTCACATTTTTGACTCAATTATCATCAAACTTTGTCAGGATGCTTGTCTAGGTCATTGCTCGGATGAGTAGTTTGAACATGGCTCATCTCGAATGAAAAACTATGTCACAGGAGCTAAAAATAGAAAAACATCTTGTTAACACTCTAGTGGCTACTGTTTTGATCCAAATATCCTGTAAATTGTAAATTGGTCTGAAAGTTTGTCTTGATGATTTCTAGGTCAAGTTCGAACATTGTTTATCTCGGATGAAAAATTAGGTCACACTGCCTAAATATGGAAAAACATTGTTAACACTCTAGTGGTCACATGTTTTATTCAATTATCATCAAATTTTGTCAGAGGCTTGTCTAGGTAATTGCTCGGATAATATCGAACATGTGTCATCCCGTATGAAAAACTAGGTCACCGTAGCTGAAAATAGAAAAACACTCTAGTGGCAACTGTTTTGATCAAAGTATTCGGAAATTGGTCTGAAAGTTTGTTTTGATGATTTCTAGGTCAAGTTCGAATATGGGTCACCTGGGTAAAAACTAGGTCACACTGCTTAAATATGGATAATCCTTGTTAACACTCTAGTGGTCACATTTTTGACTCACTTGTCATGTAACTTTGGTAAGAATGCTTGTCTAGGTAACTGTGGATGAATTCGATGGATCAGGTGAGCAATTTAGGGCGGTAATGACCCTCTTGTTATTCAATTCTGTCCCATCCAACCCTCTCCCCTGGCCCTCTGGTCCCTCCAACTACGTTATTGTCATTGTTTTGACCTTTAAATCAATAATCTTCATTGTGATTTCTATGATTACCTATTTTGAACTATTTATTAGACTATAACACGCCGTCAGTAGTTTGCCCTTGTGTCCTCTTCTGTTTTATGTTGTGTCCTGCTCCGCTTCTGCCGGTGGTCCTTTGTTTCAATGTTGTGTTTCGGATGAGTTCATTAAATGCCAATCGTCCTTGTTTATATTTAGCTTCATATTCTGACAGCATTGAATTCGTCCAATAGAATTCAGTAATTGATTTAACAATGTATAGTCACTTCAAAATATAAACCAGTGTTTGCTATTTCTAATTAACCTGCTTTGAAACAGTTTTATAAGTTTACTAGGAAGCAACGGACGATGCTTAATATTAATGTAATCTTTTTTTTCCTGTACCCGAATTGTTTTATATAATTATATCTACTTATGGCAGATGCCTTGGGTACTAAATAAGCATTAATTTATTTATCATCAGCAGATTCAATACTTTATAAATAACAAATGGTTGTCGGGTGATAGAGGATATTGTCAACCCGAGGACTGGTACTATGCCAGTTCAAAGGTTGGCAAAATCCTCTATCACCCATGTGTAATTTACTTTATATAAATACCGAAAGGTATTGTAACAAAGTCTAGTGAAACTTTACAAAATGCTTAACATGGAGTTAATTTGCAAGAGTTATGTGCCCCAGGTGATATAAGAAATATACTCCGTGGAATTTATCCTAGGAGGCTGATATTCAATTAGGCCTATTTGAGTTTTACATTGAAAGATATATTAAGTATAATAATTTAAAATATTGAGATGTAGAGATTGTTCACATACACCTTTTTGTACAGACTCACGGATTTTAATTTTTATCAGCCGTACTTGTACAATAATATATGCAAAAAATATTATTAAATAAAGGCACGCCTCAGCCACAAGGGGGATAATAAATTAATTAACTTTGCAAACATGAATATAGAAGAATTTCATTCTCAGTAAATGTATATACAGCAATTCATTTACATCAACAAAAGTACACGAAAGGGTTGGGCCAAAAGTTTTTACATTTTCGTGGGCGCTTCCTTGTAAATGTTTAACATCAGTTTCATAAGGTAAAGAAAGTTTTACGTTAAAGGGGCTGCCTTTAAGTGTTGATGCATCAGAATTGTAGCCACAGTTTATCCATGTCTGATTGTAAGAAAAGAAAGGAATAAATGGGTTCAGTTTCCTTGAGTCTTTGCAACTCCTAGCTCCAGCAGGTGAGGTGGTTTTGACCCCAGGCCTGGTGTTGCTTAAAGTTTGTAACTGCCGACGTTTGCCAAAATTATGCTTCCTGTTTTGGCGCGATATGACCTAAGTTGTGTTGGTTCGCCGTTAAACCAGTCAAAACAAAATAATCTAAAAGATAGTATTTTATTGCATTAAAAAAGGATTTACAGAAATAAAATCAAACTTCTGGATAGAAGACCGTGGTGAAAACGCCTACATTTGCTCTACGTATCAACCGCCACAGACATACAAATCAACAGGTTCAAAGATTAATTTGCATTACAAACCTGTTAGAAATGAAAAAATAAGTTATATTGGCAAAAGAGTAGAGGACATTGAAGGATTTCGGCTGCAATATAAAATATCAGAGCATTCGTTTGTAAAGAATACTACTGAGGTGAAGGGAATTGATTCAACAGATTTAGCAGGTACATATTTCAATATTTAGCAAATATAAAGCAACGAACAATGTTTTAACTGTAAACGAAATATATTTTATCAATTGAACTTTATAATGTGACGAATGCGAATTTTTTTCTCTGGGCTAAATTGACTATATATTAATATTAAAATGATTGACTATTAAACTTGTCATTAACAATGATTTATTATGAAAATGTTAAGGATAAAATATAACAACTGCCTAAAATATAATTTATAAATTGAACTCCGTGGGTCACTTGGGAGTTTGATTATACACATAGACTACACGATAGAATTGAATGCAAGTGCGGCAAAAATCTAAAATTATTTTGACCATTTACATTTGGATGGACATAATGCCACTTTAATGCCAAATTTTATTTTGAAAAAGGATTCTTTTATTTCCTAAGTCTAAAGTAGAGTATACGATGTTTAAAGGTGAACACTTTTTTACAGGTAAGTATTCATAATTTATCCAGGAAAAAGCGTTTAATGCATGATATATATTTTCCAAGGAAACAATAAATGAAAACTACTGTTTCTATCTTTAGTTTGTGCAAGGTTTTTCAAAAAGTGCTACTCCATATCATCTGAAAAAGTTTCATGGAATAATGCCAGCAATAATTGCCTTGAGCGCAACGAACATCTTGTCACTATAACATCAAAAAAAGAAATGACTTACATCCAGTTCTTACTTCGAAGTCAGTTATATAAACAACGTGCGATGCTGAAGCATGGAGTAGATGAACATACTAATCCAGGAGCATTTATTGGTAAATCTTTATTAAAAAATGTAATGTTTTTGGAATAATTTAAGCATTATTCTAATTTTGATTTTAAGTTACATGCTTGAAATTTCACAAAGACGGGTGATTAAGAGTAAACGACATCTAACATGTTAAAAATTTAAAAAAATTTTTTTTTAAAAATACCCTTTTTAGAAAAAAATTTAATTTTAAAAAAAAGGAAATTTTTTAACATAAAAAAAAATCATGTACTTAAACAACAATGAAAGGCTCTCAAGCCGACTATATCACGAGGGATATAGTATTCTCAAAAGACGTCTTAGAATTTCAATTAATTATCCCTATATTGTTGTTTGTCCGTGCGGCTGTTCTTTCAAACATGTTTATGGAATTTTCATCACGGAATTAATTAAGACATAAAGCTTAAACGTAAGAAGGCAAAAGTGTTTCTTTATTGAAATTCTGTTGTTGTGTTGTTTTTATTCCCCTACCGGTTTAACTGGAGGGTCTTTAGGTTTACCCTCCGTCCGTCCGTCTGTCTGTCCGAGCGTCCGTCTATCTGTCAGTCCGTCCGTCCACAAAACTGGATCCCGCGAAAACGCAAAAAGTACTGAAAATATTTTTATGAAACTTGATATATGGATAGATGGCAGTGTGGAGATTATGCATGTTTTTTTGTTTCCTTCTTATGTAGAAAATTTGGTTGCTATGGCAACAAATAGTCTGAAGACATGGTAAATTTAACACTTAAACTAGATCCAGTGATAACTCAAAAAGTACTGAAAATATTTTTATGAAACTTGAAATATGGGTAGATGGCAGTCTGGAAATTATGCACGTCTTTTTCTTTTCTTCCTATGTTGAACATTTTTGTTGCTATGGCAACAAATAGTCTGAAAATATGGCAAATTTAACACATAAACTGGATCCAGTGATAATTCAAAAGTACTGAAAATATTTTTTTTGAACTTGAAGTATGGGTAGATGGCAGTCTGGAAAATATGCACGTCTTTTTCTTTTCTTCTTATGTTAAAAATTCTGGTGCTATGGCAACAAATAGCTTGAATTTCAAGATTTCTGATTTAAGATTTTCAGCTTTTTCACTATAAGTTCTTTATTTCTTATGGTGTTTACTTCAAACTTTAAATATAAGTTTCTGGTCATCAACCACATCATATGTGACAAGTTTACAACTCTAGCTCAAAAATTATCAGTATTACCTCCCCTGAACTTAGAATTTTATGAAAAAAATGTTGTCTTTTTTTAAATAACTTCTTTATTTCCTAATGTATCTACTTCAAAACTTCATATATATGTTTCTTATTATCACTCAACATTTTTGAGAAGGTAAAATACTCTAGCAAGGCTATTTCCAGAATTATGTTCCCCTTGAACTTTTTTCGAGAAATTGGTATTTTTTACTCCAACTTCTTCATTCCTTATAGGATTTACTTTAAAATCCCATATCGTAATAATATGACAAGGTTGTATAAACATAATTTTCTTACTAGGAAGGGAAACTTAAAGCATTACTGTGATATAGAGAAACTTAGAACTCAAACGATTTAAGTTCATTCATGTCATTCATTCACTGGTAAAATTGAAAGGCCAATGGCCCATTAGAATGTTGCTGGGGTTCTAACCGGTAGGGGACTTATGGATTGCTATAATTCCTTGTTTATCTAATAATAGTATAACATCCTTGTATCTTGTAGCCATGTTTCTTTTAGTACTGCTTACATTGACATTAAAGAGACTTTCCAAACGATTACACCGGCAATTTCACGGGGGAGGAATCGTAACACGAGTGATGGAGTTCTTATGATAACTTGTAAGGAGTTCTTGGGATAACTGTCACGGAGTTCGTCGGAAAACGTTCCTGTATAAACTACAAAAACATGCACTCATCAACAATGATAATTTTTATCTTTTTAAAGCGAGTGTTATGTGCTAAATTAAACTTTAAGGATTAAACTTGCCGTACACCGTGTATCATTTGTCAAAAACTTATGTGCCATTTTTCATCGCCTCTTGCTAAAAACCTGGTAGTTTTGAGTAAAATTCCCAAATTGTTTGCCAATGCCTATTAACCTGTTAATTTCTGGTTTCATCCTTGCCATTCATAATTGCAAAATTATAATGCAAAATTATAAACATAAAGCCCCGGCTAACAAATGTATACCCGATTTTGAAATGTCTTGGAGTTCTTGTGATAACTTTGAAGATATCCTAGAGTTCTTATGATAACTTCTGTAACTGCCAGTGTGTTTCTTGTGCTAAATCACGACAGCGTGTTTTATTATTCAATAATGTTGTAAATCATTATGAAATATAGTACGCTCATCATCTGCACAAACATATGGATGCAATGTTAGTCTATAGTGTCTGCAAAGGATAAACATCTATATCATCTAAAGTAAAGATTGAATCAGCGGTCACCGATTTTCAGCAGTATCATGGCTTAAACCGCAAAACAAATATTTGTCAAAACTTACACGTTGTTTTCAGTTACACATGTTTTAAGCAACCACCTTTCGTAAGCAGACAATATATATTTGTACTTCCCTTGAGTAAGGGCTAGGTAATTTGTATTGTTTTTTACCTCAATAAGCAAGTATATAACCAGCATAATATCCATACCTATGTCTTCAAAAAGTGCGATACATGATAAAACTCAACTGCGGATGTCTCTAACTACCGATCTCTCGAACAAATTTTCACGCCCCTCCGTGTTCGAGCGAACTGAGTTTGGTATCCAATTTCGTGTTAAACTTTACTATGATAAGCAAATCTCTTCGCAATATGGAGAGTCCTGTAAGTCATGTGATGCTAAGGTGGATATAAGAAAGAAAGAAAGAAATATCACCGGCATTAATCCTAAGGTGACTCTAATCTTTAACTAAATATTTACTTCGTATTGTCAAATAATTGTTTGAGAATTTTCTACGTCTTTCTGACAAAAGTTGATACATTTTAGAAATTAAATTTTATTTACGTAGAATACCTAAAGATGACCCAGCCCATTATATTTTAGAAGTTCAAACTACTTCATTTTTTGCTGCAAACTATGTTAATTTGTTTTACTACTGCAGACCGGTGGAATATTTACTAAATATTCTCTAAAATGCCAGGAATAATAACGATAGTAATAATAAAAGTAATTATAATAATAATTCATTTATAGAAGGTAACACATGGAGATATTCAATCGTAGAAAACAAATAACATATCTTAATTTTAAATGTGGCCTTCTTCAAAATATATTAAAACATAGAACATCATAAAACAATAACAACTATTCCATTTAGATTTGATCTGCCCTATAACTTTGTTTCACAAACGCTCCTTTAAGACATTAAATATCATTTATACAATTTCCATTTACATATATTTTAACAATATACATGGATGATTAAGTATTATAACATAATGACAGAGGTATGAAAATATTTGTTTGATATTTGATATCATATTTATACTTATTTTTAAAGGATGCGAGAGAAATAGAAGAATGTATATTAAGATTTTATTCTATTCCAAATATTTGCACCAATGTAACAAAAAGTCCTTTATAATGTATACATGAAGGCACCATATGCTACTATACGAACTAACAGGTCCACTTCCGTTCATTTGGTTACCAAATTAAATCACTGCGTAGGTAACGACAGGCTTCGGAAAATGGTGCTATAAATAAAGATATAAAAAAGCGCAGTTCGACAAGCGCCCATATATTTTTAGTTTCACCTTGAGCAAAATACAAAGCAATTGATCCGGTCCATCTACAACGAAGTCAGACCAATGGAAACCAGACTTTGGCCTCCTGACGATGTTAAATTTAAATATTCAAAGAAATTGTCACACGTGAAAAATCATTCATAATTCTTTGTCATTCGTCCGTCTGTTAGTCCAGCGGCCGTCTCGATAAAGTCCGTCACGGAGTTGAATCGATAACAAAACTAACACCATTTCATTTTGGAACCAATAATTTTATGACAGGAAGTGTCAAGTTTAAAATGTTAACCACGTACGTATCATTTCACCGTCTTTTGGGTTTACACTACGCCATATAGAGGTGCTGCAAGTGAATCATAAATTGATACTGATTGGTCCAATTTTACACCTTGCTCACATCAACTTATTTCTATTGAATCATGGTGAAAATGGTCAAATTAATTTCTTTTAATGCAAATCATTTGAAAAAAGGATTTTAGGTTCAATGTCAGAGACATATATAATAATCTATAACCTAGGAATTATTTTCATAAAATTAAAAAACGTTGACACTGTGTTGTTTCACTCATTGTAAAGTGTATCCTCAAAAGAGTGTTTTAAGTTTCTTTTCTATAATGCCCAATGCATGAAAAAGAAATAAATGTTTGGCAACAATATACAATATATCATATCATATTGTAAGTAAAAATAGTAATTTTACAAATTAACAATAATTTAATGTATGCATCATTTGCTCACCTACATATCTTCCCGCACAGGCATTTTGAAATTACATGTATCCCTTTTCAAATTTGCAACCAAACCTTTGTTAATTACAAGCAGCATAGATATGTACATTGGAAATATAAGGGGTTGATGACCTCGACAACAAGAACAAATCTTGAATATATTAATGAAGTGTGATCCCTCGGGAATATAACATGAAAATTGCTAACTCGGTTTAGTTGCGTCTGTACATGAGGGATAATATTCCACACGCCTATATCTAAAGCCAAACAATATTACAGTCAAATAAACTCTTTTATATGAAAAATGATTCTGTAAATTCAAAGTTATAGTCACGTGATTAAAAAAATAAAGGAGCAGAGAAACGACTAAAGGATGTATGCTTTCGCTTCAATTTAAAATTTCCAAATAAAATGAAAACTAAGGAAATATATTAAGTAATTTAACACACACACACGCACGTGCACGCACGCACGCACAACGAATCTGTACATTAAAAACATTTGAAGACATTATTTTATTATTGCTATTTGTAAATATCAAATAAAACATTTGATATTTTGATCTTAATTAATGTCTATTTATGATTTCTTAAGGTTTAAGGCGAGTAAAAGAGAAACGAAGGAAGACAAGTTTTTACTGGATTAATGGTATTCCCGTTACTTTCAGTGCTTGGTAATTATCTATTGTTATACTAAAAACAATTTTTGAACCAAATAAGTTTTAATACCAAACTGTTTATAAAATGATTCACTCCGGACAAGCAAGGCATAAGCTAAATGACATACGCTTGAAATGACGATCGTTTACCAACTGGATAAATAAATGTTGTTTACCTTTGAATTAACAGTGAACAATTCAAGTAATTGTTCCATGATTAGAAAGAGCAGATTCAGAAAAATGTGCAGCCTGACCGGGACTCGAACCCGGGACCCTCGTAATACCGTACTGTGGCTCTACTGACTGAGCTATTCGACCACTTATAAATCTTCTCACCTAAATAGGGAACAGTTTTGAACCGTGACATACTCCCCTGCTTTATTGAAAATCGTCCTCGAATTTCAAAGAGTTATAGAGCAATGTGAATTGAACTGTATACAGTCACGGCCCCGTTGGGCGCCAAATGTCACAGGGTCAAAAGAATGTGCCGCCTGACCGGGATTCGAACCCGGGACCCTCGGAATACTCTACCGCGACTGTTCCGACTGAGGTATCCGGCTACTTACATATCTTCTCCGATGAAAAGTGAACAATCCTGAAGCGTGACAAACTCCCTGCTATATTAAGATTCGTCCTCAAATTCCACAGAGTTACATAGCAATGTGAATTAAACTCTGAAATACATTACGTCACGGTTTTCCGTTGAGCGCCATATGTCAGAGGGTGAGAACTATGTGCTACCTAACCGGTACTCGAACCCGGGACTCTAGGGTTACCGTACCGCGGTTCTACCGGCTGAGCTTTCCGTCTCCCCTAAAAAGAGAACATTACTGAACCGTGACATGTTGTTTACCTTGCTTTTTCATTACTGGCATAGTTTGTTTAAAAACATTATTCTGATCAAATGTACGGTTATATATATTGCGGAGTATTCTGTGACAGTAATGTGACATAATTCGATATAAGACAAGACGTTCAAACCCCTTTTTGAGCGTTGTTTCTTTTATTCTTTTTGTGTGTGCGTGTGTGTATTCGCGTGCGTGACTTTTGTGTGTGTGTGTGTGTGTGTGTGTGTGTGCGTGTGTACGTGCGTGTGTATGTTCTGATATGAAATGATTAAAGTGATTGAGGTTTGACTTTGATTTTGTAGGGGAAGCGGACAACCTGCAACTGGAGAGTGTACTTATATGTCATTCGAGATTTTTAACACCGAAAAACTTTGGTCGACAGTAGATTGTTTTGAAGACTTGGTCGTTTTTTTCATCTGCGAGAAACCATTTCCTGAAGATGGGTTTCACACAAAACGTATAATTAATAAAATTGTTTTAAATATGTGTTCAACAAGTCATACCAACTAAGTATTTATTTTTTAAGAGGAGATAGTGTAATAAAAGTCTAAACAATTAAATGCCTAGTACCGTTTAGTAGATATATTGCTTTTGTGAGTATTGTGATATTTGCAAAAAAAAATGTTTTCCCTTCTTGCAAGTCTAAAATTGTTTTCCTCATACAAAAACAGAGCTAAGACTGTTGCATAGTATATTTTCAGAAAATGTCAACAAATTCCCAGTGCAACAAAATGTTTTTAATGTTACATTTTTGACAAAGTTCGTGTAAATCGTCCACTATACAAGTGATATAAAAACGCTGATTTGGCGAATTGACTTTTTGCGAAAGTATTTATCCGTTAAACATAAAGGTTTCATATAATTTTAATATAATTGAAAGTAGAAATTCTAAATACATTTACTTTGCAAAGTAGTTTTAAAAAAACACAATTTCGCAAAATTACAGAAGAAAAAAAAATTATTCGTCCTTCTACTGAAAAAGGGAGAACTGATTCCTGCGTGCCTGCTAACTAAATCCGTGAAGAAATTTCTTTTCTCTCTTCTATCATGTTGTCCAATATGAATAATTATATTTTGTGTGTAAGGAGAATTGTAAGAAAAATGTCAAACTTGTTAGGTATAAGTTTTGCATTTCATGTGAATATGAACTTCATGACGTCATCAAGGTTGTATACAAATAGCGAAGCCTTCTATTTGTGATTTCATACCCGCATGTTGGCTACATTTTTTGGTTTACTATTATGACTATATGAAAACTTTCATGTACCTCATGTGTGTCAGATAATTTTCAAGTTCCAAAATTCTTTTGATGCTTTCTTATTGTATAACTATTAGAACATTTCATTTTCATTTCAGCCAGTATCAAGGAAAATGAATGTACAAGTGTATATAGGAACGAAGACTTCATTGGCTCACCATACTCTGGTAAACCTTGTAGATTTCCACATAATTAGAGTAGAAAAATATATGTTTATGCGATTCAGAACTCAATTTAATATTCAACATCAACAGCAACAAAAATTGAAACATAAAAATTACGAGTTTCAATTGAGCGGCAGTATAATAGTATTGTGCCGATATGAAATTTCTTTTGTTTTTGTTTTTTCTCAAAGACCATCATAAAATGCTTTATTATTGTTAAATATTCCTTCAATTCGGCTACATAAAGCTCCTGTTTTACACATGTTTTAATTGAATTTAAACATAATTTAGACAAACATATCCCCATCCTGTCCGGAAAGGAGTTGTCTAGCATGAAGTGCTCCGATGGATCGTCAATACCGAAAGTGAATTGGTGTGATAGGAATTTTGACTGCATAGACTATAAGGATGAATTGTCATGCCAGAATTATTTTACAGGTTTGTAAATTATTGAATATTATCTAAGTATTGGTGAAACATATCTTCATGTTTATCTTTCATGTGTCTGCTTTTGTTAGATGGAGCCATTAGAATTTTGGCTAATGTGTTTTAAAGAGGTTAAGGCGAATAAACAATATTTATTATTTAAGAAGCAAACAGAGAGAAAACCCGAAAATATTTTTTATCATTTTCATGATTGTGTCTGAAAATATTTTTATGAAAATTATTTAGATCACAGTCTAACAAATACTCGCAAAACAATGATTAACAGTCATTTACCTGACCGACTCAAACATGGAGCGTTTTTTCGCTGTGAAAATAGCCAGGAGTGGATATCTACGTTAGCTAAATGTGATAACGTCATCGATTGTCTTGATGCCTCAGACGAAGTCACATGTTTGCGGAGCAATAGTGGTATTACTTTATCTTGCTATTTAGTAACTCAAGCACTAACCTCACTTTTTACTTTGTCAGTTTTCTGCAATTTGTATTTTCTATATTTTAGTTAGTATTAATTTATGGAATATTATTCAAATTAACGAAACTATGTCTTCATCATAAATTATGCCTTCTGTTTATCATATTTGAAGATAGGTATTCGATTGTTAAACAGCTATATATTATAATCTTGAAGTGTTACAGTACCGTGAACATTGTTTTGCTGTGTTTTGATATAATTATGTCTGCTTTCGGAAAATTTATTTATTTCTGCAATGAAATTATTACAATTCTCTATATTTCAGACTTAAAAAATCTTACAATAACCTTTTAAATTTATGTAGACTTTGATGACAATGAGTTTTCATGTGATGGTGGTCATTGTATAAACCTGAGTCAAGTGGGCGACTTTATACCAGACTGTATGGACGGTATAGATAAAACCTGCAGTAAGAAATTTCAATTTAGTGATAAACATTATAATATACAATTATGTTATACATATTGTTGATATGTATCCTAGCCACAAGCATTGTTGACACGAGGAATGTTCTAAAATATTCGTTTTGCATACGTTTTTGTATAAACTGTATTTTGACTTAAAGAACACCATGTCTTATCATCAGAGACAATATTTGAGAAAGATGGTTCAGGTGTCCTTTTCTGCCTATATCTTAGCATAATTGGAATCAATCTGATCCCTTTTTATTTACCGATTTCTTTGAGAATTGTACGAGCAGCTTGTTATAAGATGTCATACACAATAGCACAGGAGAGAGTTTCATATAAGCTTTAAGCTTTCTACTCAATCCTGGATGCAATTTAAGTATCGAACGAAAATATGGAAAAAGAAATAAATATTGTTTAAGTCAAGCACACTTGCTATTTGATAAGCAAGATGTCATCCATATCAGCTAATTTATCAGCTATATTTTATGCACAAGTGACACTTTTATTTTTACACTTTTCTAGACTACCTAAGTTCCCGGTTATTTGGTGGATCTTATGTTGTAACTTAAAAGACATTTTGTAATGCCAAAAAATCATACGCTCCAAACAATTAAAAAAGAACATAAATGTTTGCGGCACCGCACACGTTAAACGAATACTAACTATACTTTGTATATTTTAAACATTCGCTGCACATAGTTTATGTATGTCTACCGTTCGTTAACTTTCAGCTATTATTTTTAGTATTGCAAACGTTTGTCTGTAATAACAAATGAATTCAAATTTAACTTGTTGGCTTTAGCATGTGTAACTAACTTGATTTGAGTTCATGTTTATTTTTCATTTACACTTCACATTAAATGATTGAATTATTAACACTTTCAGACTACCGAATGTGCAATATCAATGAATTTCGTTGTAAAAATGGACAATGTATTCAACCAGGTAGTCGATGTAACGCTGTATGTGACTGTTTTGATAATAGCGATGAAATAAATTGTGGTTGGTATATGATTTTGTAATACAGTATTTATCAACATGAGAAATTAATTTTTCGAGTTATGGTTCGTTCTGTGGACATGCAAAGCTGTGGAGTATAACTTTCATGCTGATATCTTAAATTCGAAATACCTGTATTTAATGTTATTTATGTCACAGTGTGAGAAAAATGTGCAGACAAACCGAGACTCGAACTCAAGACACTCGGAATACCGTTCTGTATCTCTACCTACTGAGCTTTCTCTTCTCAAACACATCTCCTATTATAAGTGACCATTCGAACCGTAACATACTGCTCCACTATAATGAGACTTGGGGTTAAATTCATACGGGTACGGGGAACAAGGTGAAATTGGAATCGGAGCTTATCCACCACGGTCCATGCTGGGTTCCAACTGTCACAGTGCTGGCTGAGAAAAATGTGCGGCCTGACCGGGACTTGAAACTGGGACGCCCTATACCGACTGAGCTCTCCGGCCGCAAACACATGTTTTCCCTATAAAGTTAACAGTACTAACCCTTGTTATTTGTTAAATACTTATAACCAAATTTCAAATTGTTTCATACGTAAAGAAGATAACAGGTACAAACACGCAGCAATTAGAACGTATGCATAAAAGTTACCTTTATCTAAATTAACATATATCACCCGTTATAGTAGTCATACATATATTTCCATTGAGAATATGTGTCTATTAATATTTTACAGATTGAAGGTAAATGAAAGCAAAAAGATAATAAAGAAAACTGAAAAAAAGCGGAAAGCAATATCTAATTAAAACGCTATGAACAAAATTACATACGCCCTTCTTCGTACATCTGTTTGTTTGTGTCAATAATACATGTTGTTTTATCCCGCTTAACTTAATAAAATTTAAACATGAAAAAAACTTAAATTTACCTAATATATCTTAAAGTTGTCTGTTCCAAGTTTTATAAATTGGTTGAAATAATATGTATCATACACGATAAATTTGTCTATCTTATTACAGCATATAAATATGAAATTATATCTTAAGCATGCTGAAAATTGAAATACATTATATTTTCTATTACTATTTATTTTTTTAAATAATTATCGAACGATTGCTAATTATCGCTGTAATATACAGAAAACACAGAAAAATAATGTTGCCTCCACACTGTCACTAAAACTCCGATTCACATAAATCGAGTCTATTTAAATTACGACTAGCCTTTTATTTCATATGGAAGTTTTTTGAAGCACTGCACGGAAGCTTTTCAGTATATTGACGTTTATGCCATTTTCGTGAAAATTAATGACACTTTTGTGAAGAAATGTATATTGAAATAAAATGTGTCCTATATAACGGCTCATATAACTGGCAATGTAGATGACCTCATGGTTACTTTGTCGCTTTGTATTGTTTTTTTTCCTTAGTTTCAACCAGGTGCTGAAATTATACTGTATAATCTTTCTTTAACAATAATACAATTTTGAACTGAATTTCTTAACCCTTTACCTCATATATACGCGAAACAATGCACTTTAGACCCCCCCCCCCTTTTTTAGGCCTGAAATAGTGAAAACATGTCCTATTTGGGCCCCAAACACATGTTGTCGTTTGAAAAATGTTGCTAAAAAAAGTGAACACTTTTTCGGCGCCGCCCCCCATTTAAAAGATACATCAGGGGGTTGCCAGAAGGGGGATGTGCCCCCCTTCTGTTTGGGGGGTTTGAAGGGGGACGGAGTCCCCCGTCATCGCCAAGAACATTTTGGACTTGAGAGAGGCTAAAAATGAACCCAGGCCGATCATAAGGTAACGTGTAACTAACGCTGAAAAGCCTTTGACTCTATCTCTTTCCCTTGAGAAGTTGCAGGACTTTGAAATAAATTTTGATGGAAAATATCGAGGCAAATTTGTGATTTTTGGCAATTTTGAGATGTCCCCTTGTTGCCATAGTAACAGGAAATTTAAGACTGAGCGTGTCGTTACAAAGGCAACATTTGTGCCAAGTTTGATTAGTATTGAAGCATTTTTCATAGTTTCATAGCAGTTTGAACTTGTAACAGGAGGCTTTTCAGCGAAAACGGCCATTTTTCACAAAATGCTCATGAGGGAAAGGGTTAATATATTCATTGAAAAAAAGACGTATTTTTACTAATGCATGTATTCTAAATATATGTTTAAGACTTTGTATCTTAAAATTCCAGGTTCCTGCCAAAATTCATTTCTCTGTATTGATGATTACAAATGTATTCCTTACCGACTGACGTGTGATAATTACCCTGACTGTAGGGATCATAGTGATGAACAGAATTGCAAAGATTTTATTCCAACGACCTATGTCTTTGATAGTGAATTCTTACCAGGAAACATCTTTGACCGTAAGTAAATGTCGTAGATTAATGAAGTCTTATCCATATCAATATTTTTATGAATTCTAAATAAAGACTACTTCTAGTATTTATTAAACAAAATAACTGAAGTTAATAACTTGCCTTAGTACACAATAAGATTAAACTAACATTTTATTACCCCCCCCCCACGCCTTTTCGAAGAAAAAAGGGGAATCTGTCCGTCACACTTTCGTGTCCGGTCCATAACTTGTCATTTATCAAGGTAATCTGAAATAACTTCGCACAAATGTGTGTTATAATAAGAAGATGTATCATGCGCAACAACCAGACCCCTACCTCCAGGGTCAAGGTACTTGATCATTCAAGGTCAGCATTGTCTATATGAGGGTATATGTCGTGTCCGGTCCATAACTTTCTTATCTTTGAAGGGATTTTGAAAATATTTGCCACAATTGTTCACAATAATGAGACAATGTGTCTTGCGCAACAATCGGTCACCTACCTCCAAGGTCAAAATCACACTTTAAGGTCAAATATTAACATAGTCTGTTATAGAGTATACGAGGGGGGTGAGGGGGTTCGGGAAGTTTAAGGACTTTTGCTGTAGTTTGATAAATAATAGGAATTGAAAAACAAGAAAAACACCATAAAAATATTTAATTATTTTACAGCAAGCTGTAACAATTACAATGAAATACATCAAACAATAAGTAAATTACAAATAAAACAAAACATACACCGAAGCATACCCGGAGCATGCTAACGTCACGTCAGTGCTAAATATGTTAACGTCAAATTTACATGATCGTCATATCGACTCACTTCTCGACGTAATCTCCATTCCTAGCAATACATGTTATATGCCTCTTTATCCATTTGTCGAACGTGTCCTCATATCAGATGTTGTCTAATGACGAAACTATTCTCTGGGTTTTAATTTGTAATTCCAACCCGGAATCAAAGCGCCGATCACGCAGCTGTGCTTTGATTTCCGGAAAAACTCGGAAATCCATCGGCGCGTGGTCCTAAAGGGTGGATGCTCGAGCGTCTCGAATTCCATCTAGATACTAGTGATCTACAGCATTTCTTTGTTGTACTAGATGCTTGAATTATTTTATACGTCTCCGTTGGTGTTTTTTCTATTCTTACACAAAACATGATGATTGCCCTGACTTCAACGTCGCCTATTGACGTCATTTTTCTCTTGATTTGTGTAAGCATCAGTGATGTTAAAACCGTTGTTATTCAAACAATTGTAACGATTTTCGAGTAGAATTTTCAGGAAATGACGTTGACATTGTATTTAACGCTCGTGCCTTTTCGTGACGTTATCCATTGTAATTTAAGAAAATGATTATCAATTAATTATATCGGTACCATTAAATTAAATACGATAAAATCGGAGTGTTCCGGGTATGCGTTATGCGGTTCTTATGGAAACAAGTTTCGAGTGGTATTTGTCTCTTCTTGTTAGTGAGCGTTATACTACATATTGAGCAAATATTTAAATAACATTTTGTGATATATGGATAAAAACGCACCATTAAGGAAAAAAATTCAACAAAAGTCCTTAAACTTCCCGAACACCCCTCGTATTTTGTGTCCGGTCCATAACTTTTTCATAGATCAAAAGATTTTGTAAATATTTGCCACAAATAGTCACTATTATAAGACAATGTGTCATTCGCAACGCCTACATCCCTACCTCCAAGGTCAAGGTCACACTTAGAGGTCAAAAAATCACATCAGTCTGTTTAAGGGTATATTTCGTGTCCGATCTAGAACTTCTTCGGGATTTTGAAATACCTTGGCACTAATTGTCACAATAAAAAGAGGATATGTCGAGTACAACACCTGCACCACTACCTCCAAAGTGTCACATTAAAAGGTCAAAGGTTAACAGAGTTTGTTATATGGTATATTTTGTGTCCCGTACATAACATCTACATAGATCAATATACTTGGCACAAATAGTCACAATGATGAGATGATATGTCATGCGTAACACCTATGTCCAAACCTCAAAGGTCACACTTAGAGGTCCAAGATTTACATAGTCTGTTATAGGGTATATTAAGTGTCCATTCCATACCTCTTTCATAGATCAAGGGATTTTAAAACATACTTTTCACGTCAAATAATTACAATAATAAGATGATATGTCAGGCGCAAAACATGGGTCCCTACCTTCAATGTCACACTTAGAGGTCAAAGATTAACATAGTCTGTAAAAGGGTATATTTTGTGTATTTTGTGTCCGATCTATAACTTCTTCATAGTTCAAGGGATTTTGAGAATACTTAGCACAAATAGATACAATAATAAGACGATATTTCATGCACAACACCTGCACCCCTACCTCCAAGGTCAAGGTCACACTTAGATGTCAAATCTTGACATGATACATTTTTAAATTCCGTTTTTCATTTCATTTTCTTTAACAAATTTATTTTGCATTTGCAGATCATAATTTTGGACTGAAAGTCCTGAGATCCATAACTAATTTTGTTAAAATAGCACAATTTTATGCTTAGAATAAAACTTTTCCGAGGCGGGGGACGTTGGTTACTCTGATACAAATTCTTGTTTCCTCAGAGCCTTGTACTTGGGATTTCGTGCAGAAAGGTAACGAATCAGGTAGAATAAGGTATTCTAGACAGTGTTTGTTTCAATCAGATTCAGCTTATTTTCTTGATGGTTTTAAGGAGAGCAATTCTTGTTTTGTTAAGGTAAGTGCATTTTAACACATCCATCATTGTGCACAAATTTAGTTTTCGAATGAAGCGTTTTACTTGAGCATATCAATACGAGCCAGGGTTGTTCGAAAAGTTTGTATTACCGTATAAGTGTTTTTTCTGCGGTGACTTTATTTCTGCTTTTTCTGCGGTCAGTTCCAGCACCGCAGAAATAAAAACCGCAGAATATTTCTCCATCATCTGATTTACTGTATTAAATTGGGGTATATTTTTCACACGTCATTTACCGCTGATCAAAAGAAGCATACCTTTCTATTGTTGCGCAAGCAGAAGAGTCACATAATTTTAATCACGTTTTGTCCAAAGAATGTGCCGCAGAAATAAAGTCCGCAGAAATAAAAACATGCTAAAATTTGGAAAAAAAACCGCAGAATTTGGAGCCCGCAGAAAAAAATCACTTATACGGTATTTTGCGATTTATCAAGTAAAAGCCTTTGTATTATTTTGCCATTTATCTAGTAAAAGCCATTCAATTTATTTGAAATTTGGTGTGTGAGAGTTACTTCACTAAAAAAAATATAGCAAACAATTGCAAGTTTGTTCTTTAAACAACATTGAAAACAGTTTTATGTGGCAACACAATGTTATATCATTCCGTGCTACCAAATCTTCATATTATGTCAGGGGATATAAATGAAACTGGTTTGCTTGTTTGCAGTTTTATTGTATGTAATACATGTATACTAATTATCTTATCTCAGGTTCGAAAAGATTGCAAGTTCAGATATCGTGAAGCGGCTCTTATTGACAACAACAAAAGTGATTTCGCATTTCCATCCTGTCATTGCACAATAGGAACATTCCGCAAAGGAAAACCTTTTAAAAAGTATATTTTCCGATTATTTCATTTTCACTCAAACCTTGTAAATGTATGAGATTGATTTATGCATGTGTTTTCACTTTAAGTATTTACATGTATTTAGTAATATATCCTTTATTTAATTTTTCATTCGTTTTCTCTTATAAAGCTCTTGTCAAGTTTAAATGATACTTTTTGGTAAAAAGGAATGACCATTTTTCGTCGTACAATTATTAAATTGTAGACAATTAGTTTGCAAAATTAATAATGTAATTATAGTTTAAACTTACAATTAAATTGAGTTTAGTAGGCTGCCATTTTTATTCCCAACTCTTAATCTTTAACATTTTATAAATTCTCATTCTATCAATTCTCATATATATTGAACTTCAGGAATAATGCTTTTAGATGACATCATTATATTTGTTGAGAAATCATTCAGAAACGGAAAAATAGATAACATATTTTTTTAAGTACGTTAAACGACTAGGCATTTTCAATACGTAACTAACACATTTTTCGCTCTTATAATTGATATCCTCCTAATATTTTCCTGTTCATATTCTTATTCTTTATAAAGATAAATAAATAAATTTAAAATACGAATTATATTTCTCTGACGATAATACTTCGAATGTAATTTTTTTTCAAGGAATGTTTTTTTTTAAAATATTTTATATTTATTATATATTAATATATATTAATAAATGTCTCGTGATAGGAACATTATTATTTGTTAACTTTAAATTCTTGCTGTAATATTCAAACTTTCAGATATGATTACTCTTATCTTGAGCTGTATATTGATTCGGTAACCAGATGCGATGGAAGTGAAACCGCAGAATTACATGTTCCTGTTGAAAGAAATTTTTACAATAATATACAGAACACAAGAGATTTAGCGACCTTTATTTGGCCAAAGGTTTTTTCAGACATGGGCATGACGATTGGGCTTCCTTATTGCACTTACGGTATGGGTGACTCTTTTTAATGCTTTCAAGATCCAAAACATTTCATTCTTTTTTGTTTTCCTTGTCATTGTGATTTTCAAACACAAGTTCCAATTTTAAATAATTTACCCGTTATATTTGAAATAATAACTTAACTTATTGTCCACTTGGTTGATTGATAAAAATAGTCACGCTGGAGCTTCAATCAATTTATAATCAACGTCATAAGGTTTTATATTTCTTTTTGTCTCGATCATATTTGATCGCAATACTGTCTTTAAGTATGATGCATTGTTATCCACATGCAACTTCATTATACCACATTGCCAAAGCGGCAAGGAATTGTACGGTTTGCTCAATAGGTAGTGCGCTTGGTTGTGAGTCGTCGATCTTTACTACGGTCAGGCGCACTGTACCTATGTGACATATGAGATAATCTTTTATTTGCAGAGTTATAATTCTACATAAATATATTGCAAATAGTTAATCGTTTTGATTTTTTATTAACTATGAAAGATAGATTTTGGATTATTTTATTAAAGATTACAAAGCAAGCTTGTTTGGTGATTGGTTTAAATGTGACAAAGATAACAAGTTCATACCAGAGTCGATGGTCTGTATTTATTCCGTAGATGCTTGCGGTTACATGACTGGATGTAGATCTGGGGACCATTTACAAAATTGTGGTAATTCAAATAAAAATCAAATTACATGTTATCATTTGATTCTATTTCTAAAATTTCAAACACGATATTTCATATGACTTAATAAAGTATCGTCGGTATTAAGATAAATAGCCAATTTTCATCGTCGTTTGTCATATATTTAACAAATGTATGTGGAAACATGCATTTTTCATTCAGGCCTGTTCTTGACCGCATGATATATGGTCTTTATCTGAAACTCGTTTTATAGTAACAGGCTTGAATCGCCTGAGAAGGGCTTAAATTACCGATAAAAATTTACTATTATTCAGTTTATCCCTATGTATTTCTCAGGAAGTCAAACTTAAATAAGAAAAAAAAAGATTCACCTATTCAAATTTTGATTGAAAGTTTTATTATTTTTTAGCTCTGAAATTATAATATAACCATAACCATTTGCATGCAAGGAACTAGGGGGCTATAATTGAAATGACGCGCCGATCCCCTCAGAGACTTTGATAGCAAGGGACAATTTGTTAGCAAACAATGACGCAAAACTAGTGTAGAGTGTACCGAGCTAATATGTATGAGTATTTAATATAATACATTAATAATTTCCCTCTAGGTTTCCTTATCTATATGATTTGAATACCAAGATTTCAAAATGGTTGTAATGAAAATTAATTCACTTGAATTTAACAAATATGAAATAAGCAATTTATACACAATACGGATATATTCGTTAACAATCTCAAGTCCAAGTCTCGATGCCTAGTCTCGATGCATTCCTAACAATAACCGTCTCGATGCCTGCCTATTATACTATGCTCGAATTTTTTATATACCTCTGTTTATTTATCTAAACAATTATCAAACACAAATCTTGCAACCCCGTTTACGTTCTACTACATATAACCCTGTAATTCTTTACGGTAGCGTTGCCCCCTAGAGAACACGGATAACATACAATATATAGCAGGTATAACTTTGAAGTTCCAAGATTAGATGTTGATAACCTGATTTTCACCAACACAACTAAATGTCATCTTGAATACCTCTGCTTATATATGCTTAGCACGACAACACCTTCTTGTGGCTATTAATTATTGGCTAATTAACTAACAATATGATTATACAGAACGAGCACCTGCTTTTAATGTAATATAGATCATACTGCAGTATAGTCTGCGTTACAAGTAATGTCAATTGAAACATTGTAGTAGAAACTATTCATACATTTCATTAAAATTACCTCAAAGGAATGCTCACATTATAATTTACAACAGAATAAAAGCAAACTAACCTTGAAAATATAATTTAATAGAACTTATTGCCTACGTTTGTTCAGGTACAAATGTCGTTCCTGTATTAAAGGGCCTTAACTCGTAATAATTGTTACACTAGTGAAAATAATAATAATAAAAACATTGACTAATGACCCATTGTGGTAAACAGGTAATATGTCTTTGCCCCTCACCCCGTTCCCTGCATCCCTTAGATTTACATTATCCCTTGTCAAATTTTTGCGACCTCCTCATTTTGAAAAAAATCTCCCAGATCCTCGCGTTATATGCGATTGGAACTTTCTGAAATTGCTTACAGCTTTAGCTTTTCAAGCAAGAAGTGGCTTTTTTAAATTGAAAGTTTGTAACAATATGCATTTAAAGTTACAACTGATTTTATTGTAATTGTTGTTATCTACTTATACTCTAGAAGATATATTGATAAATTTCTTGATTATAGGAACGCCTCCTTACTAGTAATTGGTTAATTGATTTCATTTCTGCGTTAATATTATCGATATACAGTCCTCACTTGGGAGAGAAGAGTGAGAGTGAGAGAGGGAGAGAGAGAGAGAGGGGGGGGGAGGGGAGAGAGAATGGGGGAGAGAGGGAGAGAAGAGGGAGAGAGATGGTGTAGAAAATATTATGAAAATAAATGACCTTGGTTGTTGTCGTAGCTATGAAATAAACTTAGAAATAATTGTGAAGTTGTTGTTTAAGTCCCACCCTGTTACAAGTACAACTGGTACAAACATATTAATCAAGTCACTTTTATGTGCTCATCAGATATCGTCTTGTGCTAGATAAATATTTAATATAATGAATTTATTGGAAACTTGAATACAATCATATTACGCGAACCTCTCACGGGCATAATATTTTTTATTCAACGAGTTATATAAATTAAGCATTGAATCAACACGAATATATTTTTATATTTTTCACATTTTCAAAATGAGAACGATTTTCAACTAAAAAAGTTATCTTTCATTGACGCCTATAGTGTAACGATAGCAGAAGCGTGCTCTAACTAATTATATATATAATGCGAATAACGTCTCTTCGAAGTGGTATTACACTAAAAGTAATATCGTTTTAATCAATGACTTTATAACATTCCTGCGCCGTGGTGTATGTCATAGATACCATTACTTTTCTATCCATTATTTCTTGTATTTGTTAGTTCAGTAGGACTTTGCGACTTTTGCATTCAACCGAGTTATTTTCATGTCGTTTATAGTATCTGTAAGCATTATGAATTGCAAACTATCAGCTTTTTTCGGTTGCTTTAAAATGACTGACAAATTACCCTCTTAATCTACAATGTATATCTGTGTTTGATATCTGAAACACTTTTTTAATATTAAGTTATAAACAATGTTTTAAATGTGTATTATTGTGTATAGTAGTATTATCGTGTATAATTACTTTCATAGTCGAAATACAATTTGTTGAATCATTTTACAGGTAAAAAAGAGTGACAACAAATATGTTATAACTACTAAAATAAATGGTACGATTAAATGTAATTGTTCGGAATTTTATCACAAATTTCATTTTCAGAAAATTTCCTTTGCCCTGAAAATACAGTCAAATGTCCAGGCAGTTACTGCATTGAACAGAGATTTCTATGTGATGGACATATTGAATGTCCTGGAGGAGAAGACGAGCAAGATTGTAGTAAGTGATCAAGATTTATCATTACTAAATTCAACACCATTTTTTGTTTTGTCTGTTAAATAGCGTTCTATACGGTCGAAATAATTTTGGACGTATGATGTTATACCTCTGGTTTTCCGTTCGTCCGTTCACAAGCAATTTTGTATCCGCTCTTTATTTTTTAACAGATTAAAGGGAATGGAAAATACTTTGCAAGAATTACAAGAAGACTTAAAAAAACGGTTTTGGGGCTTCATAAAATATATGTGTACTGTTAAGTTCAAATATTGTCAGTTGTCAAAATCCTTATCTTAATATATTTCAAAGGAAGGTTACTCTGTTATTACCGTTTATCTATATATTTTCTCTGACAGAATTATCTATGTTTTAAAGGATTTACCTGAAGAATCTCCTGTTTTTAAGATTTAATACGTTCCAATGAAAAGTATTTACTTATATATATTATGATTTGTCTTTTAATTATTCGGAAACTTTTTTATCATAAAAAATAAATATATCCAAGGTAGTAGTATTATACTAATAGTGTTACAGGAACAAAATGGAAATGTGTAATATAATGATTTTATTAAAACAATTACAGAGCTTTTGTTTAAAAATATCATGTACATGGATGGAAGAAATCCAGTATATTCTAACAAAAGGAGCCCGTCACTATGGTTTAACCAGTGCACGTCATTTCTGATTTCAAATCGTTGCGGAAATTTTGACAGCGTTTAGCGGATAAACATTTTCTGTTTCAATTTTTCATAAACTAATGTCCTGCGCACTCTTTAGAACGTCGGTGGCAATAACCAAAAGTTGGAAAATGACTTAAACAATTACTGTTTATAAATTGCGACAATCCTGTTGGTACATGCAGGTAGTTCCTGGAGTATACGGATCTGCATTACATCGTTATTGTTCATATGTATGAATTTGTTACAATTATGTCTATTATAGCACACTGAGATCAAGTTTTCCATGTTCTTTTGCTTCATTCGTGGTATCTTAAAATTGATATAATGTATTCTAAATTTTAAAACTGTACAAGCACATTCTGTTTATTATCTAGAATTAGTAAAAATCAAAAGTATTTCGGATACGTAAACACATGAATTATATGTAAACAGCTCAGAATAATTTTTTTTACAAAAGATAATATATTATACTCAAAAATTAGTAAAATGTTGTTATGCTCCATAATGGTGAAGAACATGCGTGCTTCTTTATACGCATGTCTGCCATATATATTCACTTACACACAATTACATACTCTTTTAAATCTCAAAGAGTCTCATTTTATTCTCCATATTATTAAAATTAATATTTTTGGTCCTAAATTTGTTTAGCGTAGCTGTATTAATAATTGTGTTTTCAAATACAAGTGTATGTTACAAAATTGCCTGCTTCATTTTATGCATCTCAAAAGTAAAACTGCTAGCATATTCCTCGCCTGGTAAATTTTCCGTAGAGTAGACTAAACAAGAAGCTCAATATTATTGCGTTTAATCCTAACTTTTAAATGATTTGTCAGAGATAAATGAGGGTAACAAGGGACTCATAATTCTCAACTTTTAGAAATGCATCTTTTTTTTTATCTTATTTCAAATTTGTGTATAACTAATGTCTTGACCACTACAACCCAAGTTCAATCATTGACAACCCAGCATGCACTCAAAAGTAAGGTCAATTTAACATTTAATTACATTTATTTTTTTCACACATCTCGAATATAGATTTATTAATAGGCTGGTAATAAGGACAAACTTTGTAATTCTACAAAAAATATATATTTTAATGCTATGTATTTATCATTATCATATCATCATAAGATATCATTTCAAGTTTAATACAAAATCCAAAAAGAGAATTACAAAGGTCATAAATCATAACATTTATTATCATTCATTCGATAATTTGCTTTGGCAATAGTCTTAATCTATGAAAAACCTTACATAATACTGACTTCACATCAAATGTCTTCTTCAAAGATATTTCTTGTTTAATTTTATCTGATTTGATTACTTACTTCAGCTTGTGAAGATTCGGATAGAGAAGTTATCTTATTTGTGGAAGATGGAGACCCTGAAAGCGGAGAAACAGCAGTACATTTAGCTAAACAATTTTTTACAAACGCTAAGGATAGTGTTGTGAGATTATTTTATTTTAGGAGTCTGAATATATCAGTGGATTTTGACATTACATTTAGGTTGTTGGAAATACGAGAAGAACGTGTAAATCAATTACAAAAAAATGAATGCAAGTATACAACAATGGCAAGAGACTTTCTTAAAAGGCTGCGCTTTACCAAATCAGATAAAAGAGGTATTATTGTGCTTGAGAATAGTAATGAATCAGCAGTTGTTTCCAGCTTAGCATTGTCCAATCTCTCACAACCAGAGTTTTCAGTATATCGGGTGATAAAAGATTTCAGTTCTTCCCTTTATAAGGATGATAAATACAAATTTGTAAAAGATATTCATATCAGTAAATGGAGGTCTCTGTATTGGACAGGATTCAGGAGATTTCCAGAAATATGTACAGGTGAGTGAAAGAGATGAAATATTCTTTAAGTAAGTAGTAAATACATTTAAACCCACCTGCAGTTAACAAAAGGAATATATTGGATGTATACATATGTAACTGTGGACATATGAAGAAAATGGCGATAATAATGAAAGCAATTAAGGTATGTCTCCTTTAAGGGGCACTGTAAGGAATTAACAATTGAAAATATAAGCCAGAGATATACTTTTAAGGTCACATATATGCAACATTTGCTTACGGTTTACAAGTTATAGCGACTTATATGAATAACATTCGGGTATGAGAAATACTTTTTTCAGAAATGACAAATATTTGTATAATCTATAATATCATCCTCAAGATAAATGTTTTTTATTGCTTATTGTTGTTTAAAAAAATAGCATTAAGCTAACAAATCACACAAGCTTAATGTTGTTTCTTTGCTAAATGATTGAGATATTCATAAATAGTTTACCCTACGCCAACCGTTTTAAACACTTGTTTGACAGTTTTCTTTCTTCGAGGGTCTAATGTAAAGTATATTTGTTATATTGCCTACCTTCGAAGAAGAGGGGGTATATTGTTTTTCTAATGTCGGTCTATCGGTCCGTCTGTCTGTCGGTCTGTCTATCGGTAGACCACATGATTACCACTGATTAAATTAAAAACTACTTTTCAGAAAGTCTTCATATTTCACATACTTATTGTGCATAACTAGTAGATAAACCTTATTGTTTTGTGATCACTAGATCAAGGTCAAGGTCACCGGGCCCTTAAATGTTACAATAGTTTTCGCTCATTATCTTGAAAACTATTTATTACAAAGTCTTTATATTTCACATACTTATTGGTCATATCTAGTAGAAGACCCCTATTGATTTTAAGGTCACTAGGTCAAAGGTCAAGGTCACAAGTGTTTTAAATGGCAGAATGGCTACCGCTCATAATTTGAAACTATTTATCACAAAGTCTTCATATCCCAAGTACTGATTTGACATGACTAGAAAATGGCGAATATTTCATTTGGGGTTACTAGGACAAAATTAATAGGTCACATGGGCCTTAAATGTCAGAATGATTTCTGCTCTTTATTTTGAAAACCATTTATCACAAAGTCTTTATGCTTCAAATAATGATAGGCCATAACTAGACCCTAATTGATTTAAGGGTTACTAAGTCAAAGGTAAAGGTCACATGGGGTCTTTAATGGTTATATGGTTTCCACTCATTGTCTCAAAAGCTATTCACCACAATATCATATTTCAAATAGTGATTGGATATAACTAGTACATGATCCCTATTGATTTGGGGGTCACTAGATCAAAGGTCACGGTCACAGGGGCTTGAAATGTCAGAATGGTTTAAAAACTATCGCAAAGTCTTCATATTACATATACTGATTCGTCCTTACTAGTTGTTGACAGCTTTTGATATTGGAGAAAGTAAGTCAAAGGTCTAGGTCATAGGTGACTTTACTGTCAGAATTGTTTCAGCTCATTATCTTGAAAACAAAATCTCATATATCACATATTGATTGGACATAACTAGTAGATGACCTCTACTGATTTTCGGTATGCTATGTCAAAGGTCAAGGTCACAGGCCTTTAGATGTCAGAATGGTTTCCACTCATTATTTTGAAAACCATGTATCACAAAGTCTTCATATTTCACAAGGTCAAGGTCACAAGGTTTCCGCTTATTATCTTTAAAACTATTTATCACAAAAATCATATTTCATATACTGAGTGGTCATATTTAGTAGATGGCCTCTATTGAATTTGAAGTAGCTAGGTCAAAGGTCAAGGTCACATGGGCCTTTAATAGTATGTTTTTCGCTCATTGCCTTGACAGTCTCCATATTTAACATAGTGATGGTCATAACAAATAGATTTATTTTTGTTTCACTATATCAAAGATCAAGGAACAATGGTTTAGAAAATCTTCATATTTTACATTATGATTGGTCATAACTAGTAGATGACACCTATTGAACTTTGGATAACTAGGTCAAATGTCGAGGTCACAGGTGCCTTAAATGTCAGAATGGTTTCCGCTCAGTGTCATAAAAACCAATTGTTACAAAGTCTTCATATTTCACATATTGAATATGCATATATAGTAGATTACTCCAACAGAGTTTGGTATCCCTAGTTCAAAGGTCAAGGCCACAGCATCCGCTTATTACCTAGAAAACTTTACACAAATTCTTCATATTTAAATATTGATTAGTCTTAAGGGGGGTCACTACTTTAAAGGTCAATGTCTTTATATTTCGAATATTTATTGGTCATTATGTTTCTTTTTTCCATACTTCCATGTACCCATTTATGGCAAAATTATCAATATTATAAGTCAATGGCTTGAAAGTGGGCCATATGTATCGTTTGACATTTCTTGTTTAACTTAAAGATTTTTAACTTTCTTTAGCCACCAAATAACTACTATAATTATAAAATTAAAATTTAACAATTTTTTCTGTCCAAAGGGTTTTTTGAGACTGTATATAACTAACGTTAAACAAAACACTATTGACCATTATTATACGAAACCCCTAGTTTCAATGAAGTTGAACGAAATTCTTGCTTTTTGAATACTTTTCAAATCGGAGGTGTTGCATTGGGTGGGTTATATATTAAGATTCAAATTTTGTTGATCATATAAATAAATTTATTCAAAGTTTATATTTTTCTGTAAAACATCCGTAATCTGTGTTCTTTTTAGAGGCTTCATACGTTCCATGTGCTGGGAAGTTCAGATGTTCTTCAAGTAAACAATGCATACCAATTGAACAAGTGTGTGATAATGTGGTGCATTGTAGAAATGGTGACGATGAAAGACTGTGTAACTCTGTGTGTCCTAAGAAATGTAATTGTGTTGGTGACTTAATTAATTGTAGGGCGGCCAACATTTCTCTGTCAGATTTATCATCACTGACAAAATATGTCAGAAGTGTTGATCTAAGTAAAAACCCAACAATTAAAGACATACACGAAAACCATTTAAATTTTTATTTTATGTTACGTTTAAATATTTCGTCGTGTGACATTCATCATGTTGACAACACAACTTTCTCTAACTTAAAACAATTGGTGTTGTTAGATCTTAGTAACAATAGAATACAACAGGTACCAGTTGTGTTTAGCAAGCTTCGTTATCTTAACATTTCATCATGTGACATTCGTCATGTTGATAAAAATTATTTCGTAAATTTACAATATCTGTTTTCGTTGGATCTTAGTGGCAACAAAATACGACTATTACCTGATATGGTATTTGGCATGCTCCGGTATCTTTCCCACTTGAATCTTGATAGGAACTATGAATTGACAGAGATTTCATCGACAGCTTTTACAGGCTTAAAATCAGTAAAAAACATAAACATAACAGGCACAAGCTTGAAAAGGATAAGCTCCCTTACATTTTCAGACTTAAATTTGAACAGTATTGATATTTCTTACAACAAAATTGAGGAGATTGAAAATGATGCCTTCAACATTTCCCAAGTACGTAAAATCTATTTTGAAGGAAATAATGTGATAAAGTTTGGAACACAAATTTTTAACGGCATAACATTCCTTCGAGAGCTTCATACACCTGCATTTAAATTCTGCTGTATCCGCCCTTGTTATGTCCCTGAAGAAGATTGCAGACCTTTATACAAAAATGAGTTTTCTTCATGTGAAGACCTAATTAAAAACCCTGTACTTCAAGCAATTCTTTGGATAGTTGGAATAGCTTCATTATGCGGAAATCTATCTTCAATCATCTACCGTCTTGTCTATGATCGCGAAAGGCTAAAGATAGGTTATGGCATATTTGTCACTAACCTTGCAGTTGCAGATTTCCTGATGGGTGTGTACCTGATAATGATAGCAGTTGCTGATTCATTCTATAGAAACAGGTATTCATTTCTGCATGAAACCTACATTTTATAACTGATTCTGAACTACTTATCTCTACAGTAACAAGTACGTCAGTGTTATTGATTCACTCAACAAATATGGGTCATTGGTTTCTTCAAAATTTCTCTTAAAACAAAACAGGTACTGACTCTTACAGCAATTTGTACACAAATTCCAGATACTGTTTCCTATGAATCTTTTCCGCAATGCATATTTCTTATTTTCTTTTTAAAAAGATGTTTAGCAACAGATATTAATATCGATATATAGTCTACAAAAATACTACCTATATATGACAGTATACATGTATGATAGATTTAGAGTAACTTGGCCTACGCAAGTGCTAATTTACCGAAAACTGATATGCCATAAATTATTTACTATTACATAGAATAAATTGTCTTGATATGTCACTTGAAGTTCTTTTTGTTTTGAAAGTATATTATGTAGTACTTATTGTCGATGATTTTTTATATAGGTAAGATTGGCATCGATCTTTATTAACTCGTCATGTTAAAAAGAAATGACATAATGATTATGAATGAATTCAAATAATTAAATTCAGAGAAAGGAACACATCATTAAAATCAAATAAGATTCACTCCTTCAACTAAAACTATTGTTCAATTCATTTTCAGATACACTTTTGTGGATGATTATTGGAGAAACAGTAATTGGTGTGTTACCGCAGGGATTCTGTCTACAGTTTCGTCTGAAGCCAGCGTTTTCTTTCTTTGCTTCATTACCTTGGACAGACTATTAGTGATCAAGTTTCCATTTGGCACAGTGAGGTTTAGACCTACAAAGGCTTATATCTGCTGCGGAATATGCTGGTTTATTTCCATAACCCTGTCGATCATTCCAATTCTTTACACAAGTCACTTCAAAAACCAATTCTACTCTAAAACAGGGGTATGCATCGCACTGCCTTTGACGCGAGATAAACCTCCGGGATGGATGTATTCCGTGTCAATTTTCGTTGGTTTAAATTTCTGCACTTTTATTCTTGTTGCTGTAGGACAGTTAGCCATATTCAAAGAACTTCGACGGGCGTCAGTTATGAAGAAGACACAACAATCAAGAAAGCGTGATTTGAAAGTTGCTAGGAATCTTATTCTCGTTGCAACAACTGACTTTTTATGTTGGTTTCCGATAGGGGTCATGGGTAAAGTCTCATATAAGCCATACATTGGAATGAACATTCATTTTCAAAGTCCCCTTTGCGATTAATGCATAAAATCTTATAACGAACCTTTGACTTACACAATACTTAATGCAATACCTATCATACAGTTTAATCAAGAGAATCATATATGTGTGTTCCATATTCGAATGCAGTACTAAAAAACGAAACGTCTTAAGATATATTTTTTCAAACATATTTTTCAAAATATTGAAGCGTCTGTTCAGATTTGCTTGCCTCACACAATCCTGTCTGTTCAGTCAAATATACACAAATAAAAACTGTTAAATAACAATAATATCTTCTTCAGGTATTTTGTCATTAATTGGATTTGCGATTCCAAGTGATGTGTATGCATGGACAGCAATTTTTGTGTTACCAATTAACTCTGCACTCAACCCATTTCTGTATACGGTGTCAGCAATACTCGGAAAGAAGGTAATTTAGAATAATGGTTTGCTTTCTCGCTGTTATTTGCATTGAAATTATAATATTCGTCACTCATGATTCGTCGTTCTCTTCATTTTATTTCAATGTGAATTCGCCTTAACCAGTCGGTGGATTTTGACCAAAATTCACAAAAGTAACCGTTAGACTTCCCTTATATAAATAGTTTTAGACCTAGCCTGGTGCACCGAAAAATAACAAAAGCTAAATATACAGGTTAGAATCGAGGTTGCTTTTTAGAGAAAGTTGTAAAAATTATGATAAGGAATAATACTTTTAAAAGGGGCGGTTAGTTGGGATATCGACATTTCTCTTGTTTACTACAGGGATAATGAGTAAAGATATTGCTGATTTTAACTTCTATTGACTTGGGTATTTTTGACAAATTATTTTGACAATGGTTAAGGTGTATTCAATTTGAATTTACGCAATTACAGCTCTTGATAGGTGGTGAATAATATATTGTCACACGACTTAATTTTGATTAAGCAATATGATACAAATCACTTAATTGGTACACAATTGGTTATTTGTACACATGTCGCCTTTTTGAGGTTTTTGGACAATCGAGCGCAACATTTGTGACTTGTAAATATTCTTACAATATTTTATGTACTGACCCTGCCTATTAGATAAACCAGTTGTTGTTTTATCTAATGTTAGTCTGGCAAATGATTGAATTAGAACTTTAACATTTAATCTGCTCTAAATTTCTTAAATCATCTGAAACGTTGGTTTTTTAATACACCAAAGGAGCCCTGTTTACAAGACACACTTCACAACATCATGTATTATTCATTGAAACGGCCATGATATCCACAATATTCATGCAATCAAAAGCTTTGGAATCTATGAAAACGGAAAAGTTACCAATTAATAATAAAGTTCCTCGTACTGTTTAATCATGAGAATAAGCATCACAAAAGTAAAAGCGCCAAGAAAAAAAGGAAAAGGGGATTCCTAAAGTACGCCCGATACGGCAAAATTAAAATGCTGACGACTTGGTTTCACTGACCCTTTTCATTAAAATAATACTTAACGCGAGCTACCGTGTACATCCCAAGTACCGGCTTGAGCTAAATGCAATACTTTAACCTAATAGGTCAAATATTAAAATTAGAAAGGAACATCCAGAGTTTGGTGTCATTGCGATTTTTTGAGAATCTCTTTATGGACGGAGATCTTTTAAGAATCAGGTTTCGTTTTCCTCTTTTTATTTTTAGAGTTTTAATCCAAGCATTGGTGAGCAGAGTCGAACAATGGTCCAGAAAGGTAAACATCGAACACTACTGTAGTTTATCGTTCATGTTTTTTGTTTTGTTTCATTGTCAAGTAATAATTTCATATGGACCAATTAACAATGACAGTATGCCATATATTATAAATCAAATCGTTTTACCTTAAATATTCATTCATGGTGTGTCAAAATATCATACTCAATGTATCAATGTCAATATAATATATTGTATATATTTGTATTGTCTAGAGCACCGATAGTAGTAAGCGATAACATTTCTTTTAAGACAATGAATGTTAGCTCTAGGTTTTTAATTTATAATGAGATATCATATCATGCCTATGCAAATTCTAATGTTTTATTCGCATCAAACTGTGTGACGTTTGCTTCAGAACTTATTATTTTTTTGCCCCTTAAATGCATACTTAGTATCTACTCTACAACACGGTTCAAAATGTTAATACTAGTTAATTTCTAAATGAAATCAATGTTATAAGTGTATGACGCTGGTTTGATGTTATTAATATTGATTGCAATTGCGATAACTTGTTAATATGTTATACTTGATAGTTTCTTTAATTGCAATACCTTACAATGCAGCTCACTGTGTATAACATCTGAAATTTGATTGAAAATTTGGTCTTGATAAATTATACATGTATATATATTTCATATATTTGTTTGTTTCCGGTATAAATCCTTGACAGGAATATTTAATATATGTTTTGCAGAATATGGCAGCGTCATTTTAAAATATCAGAAATTAAGCAGATCTGTTCGCATGAAACAAGAAGGTGTTCCCATAGGAACAATGCGTAGTATCCAAGAAATACTAAATGACGATAGATGTTTGTCAATCAGTATTGTTGCAGCACTATCCAAACAACTTGCCGAATATCTTTGTCTGTTAGATGAGTGTTTCATTGTCATAGACGAGATATGTGAGACGAATGTTTACATAACAAAGGTATATACCTAATTGTCAAATTATTATATCACTCCTTATCAGGTATGTATGCATTTTCCAAGATAAGGGTAAAATTCAGTCAAGGTTGCACTCATAAGGATAAAAGGGAAAACAACACACAGAGTGGGAGCATATAGCGTTGCACTTGTCCGTCCGTCCGTCACGCCGTACGTCTGTCCGTCCGTCCGTCTGTCCGTACGTCCCGAAATCTTGTGAACGCAACTCCTCTTAAACCGGATGGCAGATTTTGCTTAAACTTTCAGGGATAAACAACCTTAATATGTAGATGGTAGTAAAGGAAGGAATTTTTGCTGCGACCAAATTTAACAGAATTATGACCCTTTGTTGATTTTTTTCACTATATACTATGTAGAAATTTTGTGAACGCAACTCCTCTTAACAGGATGGCAGATTTTGCTTAAACTTCCAGGAATGAACAACCTTAATATGTAGATGGCAGTAAAGGAAGGAATTTTCTCTGCAACCAAATTTAACAGAATTATGGCCCTTTGTTGATTTTTTCACTATATACTATGTAGAATTTTTGTGAACGCAACTCCTCTTAAACCGGATGGCAGATTTTGCTTAAACTTCTAGGGATGAACAACCTTAATATGTAGATGGTAGTAAAGGAAGGAATTTTCGCTGCGACCAAATTTAACAGAATTATGGCCCTTTGTTGATTTTATCACTATATACTATGTAGAATGTTGTGAACAAAACTCCTCTTAAACCAGATGGCAGATTTTGCTTAAACTTCCAGGGATGAACAACCTTAATATGTAGATGGTAGTAAAGGAAGGAATTTTCGCTGCGACCAAATTTAACAGAATTATGGCCCTTTGTTGATTTTTTCACTATATACTATGTAGAAATTTTGTGAACAAAACTACTCTTAAACCAGATGGCAGATTTTGCTTAAACTTCCAAGGATGAACAACCTTAATATGTAGATGGTAGTAAAGGAAGGAATTTTTGCTGCAACCAAATTTAACAAAATTATGGCCCTTTGTTGATTTTTTCACTATATACTATGTAGAAATTTTGTGAACGCAACTCCTCTTAAACCGGATGGCTGATTTTGCTTAAACTACCAGGGATGAACAACCTTAATATGTAGATGGCAGTAAAGGAAGGAATTTTCGCTGCGACCAAATTTAACAGAGTTATGGCCCTTTGTTGATTTTTTCACTATATACTATGTAGAAATTTTGTGAACAAAACTCCTCTTTAACCAGTTGGCAGATTTTGCTTAAACTTCCAGGGATGAACAACCTTAATATGTAGATGGTAGTTAAGGAAGGAATTTTTGCTGCGACCAAATTTAACAGAATTATGGCCCTTTGTTGATTTTTTTTACTATATACCATATATATGTTGTCAGTGGGGGCATCCGTGTCCTTTGGACACAGTTCTAGTTTTAAATGCGATGAACTATCATTTTTATACTAAGTACACAAATTGATCTAATAATATGGTTTTTTAAATGATTCCCGAAACAATCTGACTTGGTTCAGCTCCTTCAGGCTTGATTAATACATTTGATAATTTTCTTTTCCATAGGGTAAATATCCAATTGTTGTTATAGATGCAAAATCTTCGATAGCTGCCGATGAAAGAGCTCTACAGGAAAATATTTGCCAATATGGAAAACTTCTTCGAAAACTTGTTTCAAAATGTGATAAGAATTTGAAATAAATAAGAAAAGAAACGCAATGGTGTTAACTATTTGTTTCTTAGTTTTATGACACATCTATTACTCGTATTTTAGTTTGAACTAGATTTACTGTAAATGGCAAACTGTATAGTATGTCTGTTTAATTGAGTTAGAATTGATGAAGTCATGTTTTGTATATATGTTTCAATAAATTTTCTGATTTATATTTCATACAGTGACAAATCGTTGCTTATATTTAACGAGAGTTTTGTTGTTGTTGTTGTTGTTTGTATGTTGTTTTTGTTGTTGTTGGTACTGGTTGATATAAACGTGGGTAATTATATTTATCTTTATCAATTATTCATATGCTATTTAATTTTATAAATGTCTTGACGTTGACCAAGTTTTTTTATCAATTTTTAGTAAATGTTTTAACAATGTATTGACGACCAGATAACCCCTGGTCCTTATTTCTTGACTATTTTTTATTTTGAGTGTATTCATTATGATGTTTTATTCAAACTTATCATGTTGTTAACATCTATTTTAGTTAAGATAATTTAAATACATACATTCAATCATTAATCTGTTTCTATTTATTCAAAGTCGAATATTTCATACAGTGACAAATCGTTGGTTATATTTGTCATAAATAGAATCCGTTGGACTAACATACCAATGACTGCTGCACAGAGTCATGTCATTTGCTTTAGGATACAACAAATAAGTACTTACTAGTTGAATGAATTATTGTCATTTATTTTTGAAATGACTGTTCTCAACAATAAATCTTTATATTTTTACCAAATGTTTATAATCTAATGTTTTACAAAATATCTAACTAAGAATTCTAAGCAAAGGTTGGTCATCAGAACCGCCTACATGCAAAATTATAATCTACAAAGTCATAAATCATCAATAAATGGAGGTGGAGGGGAGGTGGTGGTACAGCTTAATTCTAAGTAAATTTTAATTCAGTTGCAATGCTTATTCTGCATCAACTTCTCGCTGAAAGATGGCGAATGTTTATCAGCAATTTATCATGCCGCTGTGATACGGTTAGAACAAAGAAATCATGCACTGATCACGCGCTGGTGTCATAAGAGTTACACACCGTGAAAGTTACTAACTAAATAAAGCTGCCGACCACAAAATACCCTCCTTCCACCTTCGGCTGTATACACCTTAAAGATTATAAGTCCAATTTTTTCAATCCAAAGAACTTTATCTTCGATGAAAGTAATATTTAACGTTTTTGTTGTTGTTCTTCATTATTGTTGTTTGTTGTTTTTGTGTCGTTGTTGGTTGATATTAACTTGTATAATGATATTTCATTTTCTTATCAGTTATTTATATGATATTTAATTTTATAAATGTCTTGACGTTGACCATGTTTTTTATCAATTTTTAGTAAATGTTTTAATAATATTATTGCCATTAACGACCAGATAACCAGTTATCTATAATAACTGGCTCATTTTTAGTTTTAATTGTATTCATTATGATGTTTTCTTTAAACTTATCATGTTGTTAACATGTACATTAATTAAGATATTTTAATCACATACATTAAATCATTAATCTTTTTTCTATTTTCTCGAAGTCGTTCATATTTCATATAGTGACAATCGTTGCTTATTTTTAACGTTTTTTGTTGTTATTTTTAGCTCACCTGCCACAAAGTGACATGGTGAGCTTTTGTAATTTGGTGATCACTTTTCGTCCGTCTGTCCGTCGTCCGTAAACTTTTACTTTGAACGGCATCCCCTCATAAATCGCTAAGCCAATTTCATCCAAACTTCACAGGAATGGTTCATTGGTGGTCACCTTTAAAAATTGTTCAAATAATTTAATTCCATGCAGAACTCTGGTTGCCATGGCAACAGAAAGAAAAAACTTAAAATATCTTCTTTTAAAAAAACGAAAGAGCTAGAGCTTAGATATTTGGCATGAAATATCTTCTAGTAGCCACAGGGTGTCTCTGCTTTTATTTATATGTATATAGTAAATACTTAAAAAAATCTTCTTTTAAAAAACCAAAAGAGCTACAGCTTAAATTGTTAGCATTAAACATTTTCTGATAAGTTTCTACCAAGTTTGTTCAAATAAAAGCCCTAGGGTCAAAATTGACCCCGCCCCTTGGGGGTCATCGATTTTCCTTATATGTATATAGTGAAAACTTAAAAATCTTCTTTTAAAAAAACCGAAAAAGCTAGAGCTTAGATATTTGACATTATACATTGTCTGATGAGTGTCTATCAAGTTTGTTCAAATAAAAGCCCTTGGATTAAAATTGGTCCTGCCCCGGGGGTCAATGTTTTCCTTATATGTCTGTAGTAAAAACTTAAATAATCTTCTTCTAAAAAACCGAAAGTGCTAGACCTTAAATATTTGGTATGAAACATTGACTAATAAGTGTCTACCAAGTTTGTTCAAATAAAAGCCCTGAGGTCATAATTGGTCCTACCCAGGGGGTCATTGATTTTCCTTAAATGTATATAGTAAAACCTTAAAAAATCTTCTTTTAAAAACCCAAAGAGTTAGAATGAAACATCTTCTTGTGAGTGTCTACCAAGTTTGTTTAAATAAAAGCTCCAGGGTTAAATTGGCCCCGCCCCGGGGTCTGATATTTCTTGTATGTCTATAGTAAAAACTTAAAAAATCTTCTTTTAAAACCCCAAAGAGCTAGAGTTTAGATATTCATCATGAAACATCTTGTGATGGGTGTCTACAAAGTTGGTTAAAAAAGCCACTGGGTTAAAATTTGTCCCGCCCCAATGGCCGATATACAGGTGAGCGATTTCAGGGCCATCATTGCCCTCTTGTTTATTATTGTTTTTGTTTGTTGTTTTTGTGACGTTGTTGGTTGATATTTTACTTGTATTATGATTATTTTTTTTCTTATCAATTATTTATATAATATCTATTTTTATAAATGTCTTGACGTTGACCATTTTTTTTATCAATTTTAAGTAATTTTTTTAATAATATTATTGCCATTGACGACCAGATAACCCGTTATCTAAAATAATTGACTCATTTTTAGTCCCCTACCGGTTTACCGGAGGGGACTTTAGGTTTACCCTCCGTCCGTCAGTCCGTCCGTCTGTCCGTCCGTCAGTCCGTCCGTCCACAAAACTGGATCCCGCAATAACGCAAAAAGTACTGAAAATATTTTAATGAAACTTGATATATGGATAGATGGCAGTATGGAGATTATGCACGTCTTTTTCTTTTCTTCCTATGTTGAAAATTCTGGTTGCTATGGCAACAAATAGACTGAAAATATGACAAATTTTACACATAAACTGGATCCCGCGATAACGCAAAAAGTACTGAAAATATTTTTATGAAACTTGATATATGGATAGATGGCAGTATGGAGATTATGCACGTCTTTTTCTTTTCTTCCTATGTTGACAATTCTGGTTGCTATGGCAACAAATAGACTGAAAATATGGCAAATTTTACACATAACCTGGATCCAGTGATAACACAAAAGTACTGAAAATATGTTTATGAAACTTGACAAATGGGTAGATGGAAATTATTCACATCCTTTTCTTATCTTCCTATGTTGAAAATTCTGGTTGCTATGGCAACAAATAGACTGAATTTCAAGATTTCTGATTCTAGTTTTTAAGTTTTTTCACTATAAGTTCTTTATTTCTTAAGGTATTTTCTTCAAACTTTAAATATAAGTTGCTTGTCATCAACCACATCATATGTGACAAGGTTTACAACTCTAGCACAAAATTTATCAGAATTACCTCCCTTGAACTTGAAATTTTCATGGTAAAAACATTGTTTTTTTTAATAACTTCTTTTTCTGAATGTATCTACTTTCAAACTTCATATAAATGTTTCTTATTGTCACTCAACATTTGTGAGTGTTCAATACTCTAGCAAGACCATTTCCAGAATTATGCCCCTTTTGAACTTAGACTTTTTTTTGAGAAATTGGTAATTTTTACTCCAACTTCTTCAATCATGATAGGATTTTAAAAATGTTATATTTTGATAACAGGGATGTTAAAAAAGTAACTTTAGAGTGTCTTTCAGTCTGTCTGTACATAAAAACTATTTCCTGTGATCACTTTTAAAGAACTTTTTCAACAAATTTACTTTAAATAGGAACCTAAGTGAATGGCCAATGGCCCATAGAATGTTGCTTGGGCTCTTACCGGTAGGGGACTTATGGATTGCTTGCAATACTATGATAATTGCTTTTTTTATTTAAATTGTATTCATTATAATGTTTTTTTAAAACTTTTCAATGTTGTTAACATTAATTTGAATTAACGCATTTCAATCACATAAATTCAATCATTTATGTATTTTTATGTCCTGTTGTGATCAGTGTTGTTTTAGTAACTGTTTAGTGATATTTTGTGAAGGAAGAGTTAACCTAGCGGGTAAGTTGTGCGCTTTTCAGTGATTGTGTATCATGGAATCGAGACCTGATCAGAAACATGCATCATAATTTGGCATTTATAGTTCAAAAAGCGAACTTGAAAGGGATGATTAAAAATTAATTGAAGCTGTTGTCACAGTTAGGTTTAATAAATAACTATGTTTAAACAAATATAACGTGACATTTTGTCATAAATGTTGAAAAAATAGTATTTGTATAGAATTTTCAAGAAAAGCTCCCCCTACAGGTGGTCAGAGAAACTTGATACGTTATTATGATGTTAATAATTGCTAGTAAGTCAGCCAACCAACATCATATTGCAGTTTTCTTTTCTTAAATTGTTTTTGATTTTGTGTTATTTGAATTTATAATAATTTGATCTTTTATTTGTATAAGATTGGTACTTATGTTGTTGTTGTTGATATTGTTGTTTGTTTATAATAATTACATAGATATTTGATATTATTATAATAGTAATTTGTCATTTATGTTTTGTTGTTGCAATTTAGCTCACCTGACCACGAAGTGGTCAATGTTAGGTATAGTGATGGGGCTATGTTCGGCGTCCGTCGCCGTGCGTAGTGCGTTGTTCGTCTTGTGGGTTCTTAACAATCTAGCAGTCACAGTTTTGATTGTATTATCATCAAACTTTGTCAGAATGTTTGTCTCAATAAAATACAGGCCAAGTTCGAAGATGGGCCATCTCCGGTCAAAAACTATGTCACAGGAGATTAAAAAAAGAAAAAGCTTGTTAACACTCTACTGGCTGCAGTTTTTATCCAAATATTCTAGTTATTTGTCAGGAAGGTTGTTTTTTCAGATGATTTCTAGGTCAAGTTAGGAGATGGGTGATCTCGGTTCAAAAAGAGAAGAAAAATAGAAAAAGCTTGCTAACACTGTAGTGGCA